TGCCTAACACTAGAGAGCTGCAGCCAGCTTTATGAAGATCTCACCCAAACTGTCCCAAAGCAGGATCCCTTTGTCCACGCTTTGTAAATCCCAGGCTCCCCTCTGCACAATCGGAGTCGGGGGTGGACTGCCCCCACCCCTCGCGCATATGCGGACACTTGGCAGCAGCTTCACACAGAGCATCGCGCAGCAGCGCGGTGACTGGGACGGCTCGGGGGCTGAGAATCAGACTTAGAGACCCCACGCTAAGTTGCTCTCCACCTCGTTCCTCTGGACAGGCTCCTTCGGGGACCAGTCGCCGCCGCTGCTCCTTCTTGCCCTGGAAGTCCCCCTCTGGGACCTTCGAGCTGGAAGTCACCTCGGGAGAGCTCGGTTCAGCCCTGGCACCTAAGGCCGTGCCCAGCCTGTACTCTGCACACAAAACCCCTGGGAAAATGCAGATTCAGGCTCAGCAGACCTGAGCGGGGCTCGGAACGCTGCATTTCCCACCCGTTCTGGTGACGCAGAAGAGGCTGGTCCTTAAATGTCACTCTGGTTATCAAGCAGAAGGAAAGGTCCCTGCTTCGCGGATGATGTGCTGTGAGTCCATCAAGGGGACTCACTTCTCCCGGGTCGTTCAGCTCTGCACAGAAACTAAAAAGGAGCCTTGCTGGCCCCTCGCACTCTGCCCACCCCCCACCCCCACCCCCGGCATTGCTTCCCAAGGACTGGTCTTTGCAACCCGGGTGCCATGAGATGAGGACTTTCTAACTCCTTAAGCACAGAATCCACCCTTTCCGCTGGGCGCATCCCCCCCTGCGTGCAGACCCCCCGGTGGGTTCCCCCATCGCTGCGGAGACTCCGGCCCCACGGAGCAACTGGATGCTCCCCGGAGGATGGAAATCACCCACCAGCCCCTCCTGGAAACGCTCATCTTTCTGGGGGACAGGCTGAAGTTTGAGAAATGTCAGGAAAGGAAACCAGCCCATCAAAAGGAAGCTAGCTCCAATTTCCGCTTTGGGTTAGTAGCGGCTGGAAACAGGTGGAGGCCCTGAGTGAGTGTGTGTGAAATGCACATGGAGCCGCGCAGAAGGAAGGAATGTTCCACCACCGGCAAGCGTCCTCTGGACTCAACCCGTCACAGGCAGCCTGCGGGACGAGAATTTAGGTATGTGTTTCCAATTTCTCTGACGGAGTCTGTTTAGATTGAGGGCGGCTGTTTCATCTTTGAAATATGTGTTCCACAACAGACCCCGGAATCACAGAGAAATTGCTCCCTTCGTTCTGTGAGCCAAACCCCAGACTAAAGGGGTTTGGAACTCCCCACAAGGTGCTCTTTGCTTATTGCTCATTCGGAAAGAGACGACCATTTCTTTAATGAAACGCAATGTCGAGGAAGGTGCCAAGAATCGATGCTCCCTCTCTACCTTCCCATCTGGTAGCTTCTTTCTAGCCAATTAACTACCAATGAACTGGGGCCGAGCTGTAACTGGCGTGCTGGACTCCCCTGTGCGCGGCCACAGCACGTGTCCCAGGAGGGCGTGGAAGTCTCTGGTCCTCTCTCAATTCGCGAAAGCCCAGGAAGGAGCCTGCCCCCCCCCCCCCTCCAGACCTGTATTTGCAAGGCCATTCTGGTTAGCTGTAGCTAAGCCCCCAGAATTAAAGCTGATGGGTTGTCACCTTTCAGACAAATCCTGTTTGCTCGATCTCCCCCTCTGGTTTTAACTACATCGTGTCGGCGGGGAAATAGCAAAGGCCCGCAAAAGGCCGGTCTTTCACGAGCTTTACCAATGAGACTTATTTCTACATGAACACCATGCTGGAGAGGGTTCTCCGTCTGGAGGGGCAGTGGTGTTGGGTTTTCTGTTGTCTGAAAACAAGGAGCACAGTGTTGTGCTCTGTGAACTCACGCCCCACATTTTAAGCTCGTCAATAGTTCCGTACCCACACCTATTTATGCTTTTCTCTTCTCCAGGCCAGTACGAAGCTCCGGAGAACTGGGATTTCTTACCATGTTGTTTGTTTTCTGAGAATTTGCCATTGATTTGGAGTCAGTGAGACCTTGTTGACACCCCTTAAGAGATCGGAGTTTTTGATTTGTTTCATTTTGGTTTTTTGGAAAGGACTAAAGACAGCTGGAGAAGGCAACTGGCTAGCCCGGTGCGTGTGTTACTTTTCGGGGTCTTAGAATTCAACCAAAATGGAGGTCCTTCGATAGCACAAACTCGGTTTCTGACCAGGGCTGCCGGGAGGGCTTCCTAGCGTGAGCAAAGGAGACGACCTACCATTTTTGTGGGCTGCTCCGTGCCGCGCGCCTGACATACAGCCAAGTCTTAACTCCCAAGGCCATGCCGTTGTCAAGGGTCACAGCCCGCTCCACAGAGGCGGGAGCATCTAGGCTCAGGGAGGTCTGACCCCTCCGCAGTGCCGCACAGACAGGAGGCAGTGGGACTGGAATTCAAGTGCAGTCCTATCAGCGCGTGAGTCAGCGAGCGTGACTCCTCGAAAACTCAATACTGCAACTCTGTCAGAACGCTGGTTGTTTTCTCTTAGGGTATCATTAGACCGTGGAAGTTTCCAGGCATGGCTTTAATACCACTGATACGCCACTGGCTCCATTTAGGTCTCCAACCTCAACGATTCTCCTGAATTCTGGTGGTCAGTGTCCAACAAATACCTCCAACACAGCACTCAGCTCTTCACTTAGTCTAGCCATGTCAGCAAATGGCAACTTAGTTGCACCATTTTGTTTTTTGAAGTTTACTTATTTTGAGAGAGAGAGAGAGAGTGAGCGCAAGTGGGGTGAAGGGCAGAGAGAGAGAGAGAGAGAGAGAGAGAGAGAGAGAGAATGCCAAGCAGGCTCCACACTGTCAGCACAGAGCCCGACATGGGACTCAATCCCACGAACCGTGAGATCGTGACCTGGAATCCAGAGTCGGACGCTCAACTGAGCCCCCCAGACGCCCCTCGCCCAGCTGTACCATCGTGTACCCACTCCACCAACAAATCTGTTGGCTCTACCTCTGGAGTGTATCCAGAATTCAAGAGCTTCTCTGGGGCAAGCCTCCACCATAACCCGTGTATTTGAAACAGCCTCCTAGCCAGACTCCTGGCTTCCACCCTGCTGGACAGCAGCCAGAAGGGTTCTTGTACGGTGCCACGTCAAAGTACGTCGTTCCTCTTAAACCCCATGTCTGTACGTGGTCCTACAAGACTCTGAAGCATCTGCCTGTGTTAGTCTCCTCCCACCAGAGGAAAAACAAAACCAACCTAAAAGCACCACCCATCCGGGGCGCCTGGGTGGCTTAGTCGGTTAAGCGTACAACTTTCGCTTAGGTCATGATCTCGCGGTTCGTGGGTTCGAGCCCCGCGTCGGGCTCTGTGCTGACTGCCAGCTCAGAGCCTGGAGCCTGTTTCGGTCTGTGACTCCCTCTCTCTCTGACCCTCCCCTGCTCACGCTGTCTCTCTCTCTCTCTCCTAGAAATAAAAATATTAAAAAAAAAAAAAAACGCACCCCCCATCCTGCAGCCACTGGCCCCTGGTGGGAGCCCAGGAAGTTGGGCCTGTTTATACCTCAGGACATTGGCACTTGTTGGCCCCTCTGCGGAGGACGATCTTCCCTAAGCGGTCCCCAGGCTGGCTCCCTCCCCTAATTAGAAGGGATTTCTCTCATTGCCTCTTCTAGGTCATCAAAGGGGTGTGGGCACTCTCTGTGTTTTTCCCTTCGAATTTTTGTGAAGTTCAAAATTAAAAGAAAAAAAAAAACTGTCGGAGAAGGACCTAACTTAAACCCTGTGAGTCCCAAAGCGATTGATTAAAAAGCTTGGAAAGAACTGCTACCCAACCTGTCCTCTCCAGCCTCTGTGCACGGGGCAGAAACACAGATGTGTAGAGCCCCACGTCTGAACGGTTACCTGGCCGTCGCCCACCAGGCTAAGAGCACAGGATTTTACAGCTGACCCAAGTGACGTCACGATCTTGCGTGAAAATCTCACGAAGAGGTCTTCAACACCCCCAGATACTTCAGCGGTCCCCAGAACTGGGTCTCCTGAGGGTCCGTCTGGGCAGAAACAGGCTGCGAAATCAGTATCTCTTCCATTTACAGCATGCTGCTTTGAGGACTGTGCTTGTTTTATTTTTAAAAGGAAAGTTCAAACATTTAATTTTTAATACGGTGCCAACGTTTACACAGAGGGTTACAATTTAAAAAAAAAAAAACCAACCACATCGCTCTGTGGTCGTTCCAACACCAAACGTGAATAAACCTCATAAAAGTCGCACGTAGGCTCGTTCCCGGCACACCTAGGACGGCAAATAAATAGTTATTACTGCACCGGTGAAAATGGAGTCTGGTTAATGTCCCCAAGTTAGATATACGTGCTCCCCCGTCATGTAAATCATTTCAAAGGCTAGAAGCTGAGTGCGATAGAATGCCGCCCAGGCGAAATGAAAACGGAGGCGTTACTATTACACTTCTGTAACTCGAGTCTGTTCCTCCTCGTGTTTCTCATCTTTTCCAGCTCGGCGTCTGATAAGGAGCCCTGAGCAGATCTGCACTTGCTGAGAATTCAAAGTAACCAGTTCTCACCTAAGCGAAACGAATTTCTCAGTCTCTGTGGCTTGCTGGGGCCAAAACTGTGTCTACTGAGAAGTCTTCCCCGTCGTAGGGTCTTTGGGAAGAACTAGCTAGAGAAATTGGAGATTGCCTGGTTCTGAGGAACTGCGAACACGGAGTTTTGGTTTGCTTCTAACACATTTACCTTTCCATGAATGCCAGCCGCGCATCTGTGCCCCCCCCCCCGGTACCAAAATACGCAAGAAATTCACGTGTCCGTCCTTCTATAACACGTTTCCTTATTAGTAGAGACGGAGAGCAAGAAATAGGTTGATGTGCCCACTTAGGGAACTCCTTTTCTGTCCTGCATTTATGTTTACTTACATAAAACACTGCTTCAGAAAGGATCCAGAAAGTTCTACAGAAGTCTAAAGGTTTTGGTTCTGGAAAAAGAAACACGCACACGGTTGTGAGAAATGTTTATTTTACTTCCACATCCCAGCTCTACTCTTCCTGCTCATCGGATGGCCAGATAGAGTCGACGAGGTTCTACATTTGGCTACAGCAAATCCCTTCAGAATCCCGACCCGCGTTACTTTTACAAGACAGACAGACAGAGCGCTCAGAAGCCTGCTCCCCATCGAGTGTGTGTGAGAGCCCGGGCCAGGGGGCGAGCGGACCGCACAGGGGACTCAGGGCTCCACGGGGGGAAGGCGATCAGCTCTGGTAGCCCCGCTGCAAACTCTCCCGCCCTTGACCTTCACCTGCCTGTCTGACCATGGCCTTCTGTTGCCAAGAGCCTGAACCCCACGACAAATTCCAGGTTCAACTGACGAAGGAAAGCAAGGCTATTTGAGTCAAGTAACGCTCTCAACTGTTTGCCATGATTTGCAGACCTCTTCTACGCTAAGCCCTGGGGAGGAGGACACAACACAGCCCCCCTGGGTGACCTTGGCCTGGAGCAAACTACCCCTTCGTTCCTCCATGGCCTCATCTGGAGGAGGAAGGAATTCTGTGGTTTCACTGCCCTTTGGCCATCTGTTCAGGGTTTCGTGTTCCCTTTTGAAGCTCCTTGTTTTAGCTGAAAGGGCGTTCTGGATTATACAAATCCAGGCTCTGACTAATACTCTTTCGGGAGGCCACGCGGGAGTGAGCGGGAACTACATGAAGCAATCTTTAAGACCCTGTAGGATTTCAAGCCCAGGAGAACCCAGCGTCGCTTGCACACTCTCCATGGAGACCCCAGTAACAACACTAACATTAGGACCTGTGACTCGATACTTACGTGCCGTGAACGAGGCACAAAGGTCGGATTCTCTCTGACTGGTGTTTCCACACCAGTCTATTCAATATCATTCGGAAGGAGGCCAACCGATCACAGAAACAAATGTTCCACTGTTTGTCAGCACGATCTGACTTAACTTTTTTTAACCCAGAGGACACAGCGGTACATTTTTTCCTATCGACCAGAAGTTTCACAGAAACCCGCTTGTAGCAAGGTTTTTACGCACAGCAAGCATTTTTACGAGGGCCGAGAAATGACGGCTTCCGACTGGGAGTTCGTCAGATCCGAGAGAAGGGGTGGGAAACCGTACGGCGAGGAGGAGAGGATCTGGAGGGGTTGGCAAGAAAGAGGGTAAGGAGGACAGGAAGGACAATGACAGGGATACGATGATGGCATCCAATCCAGGGGACGGTCTTCCCTCCCAAGGACCAATCCCCTCTTCCTTATTAGGAGACTCCGAAGTTCATTCAGAGAGTAACACGCCTTGCGAGAACTTCTCCCCACACTCGCGTGCAGCCAGGAGGGGTCATGTGACCGAATTCCAGCCAATGGACATGAGCTGGGCACCCGTGGGCAAGTTCTGCTTCCCAGACACAGGACACCTTGCTACGTGCCTCCTCCCTCCTCCTGCCTACGAGGCAGATGGCCTGGCTTGCAGCTCGGAAACCAGCCTGTGACTGTGAAGCAGCGAGCCAAAGGCCCAAGGGTGGCAGAAGACAGCAGCAAAGAGTGCGGCTCCCCGATGATGACATAGAGAGACGCGAGAGGGCCCGACCCCCAGGTTTCTCATTCAGCTCGTCACCGCTCGTGGGAGTTTTCTCTCACTTGCAGCCAAACCCACACGGGGCACGTCGGTATCCGAGGCCGAGACCGCAAAGGGTGAGGGCGACTCGATGGGAAGGGAGGAGCAGAGACACGCGTGAAAGGGCGCGTGGGGACTCACACTGGGGCCACAGCGGACCGGAACCGCAGCTTGGCTCCTTCTCACAGGAAAGGGCGAAGTCCTGACTAAAGGGATAAATGCGCCGCCAAGTTCAATACAAAGATGCCCAGGGCTCAAACCGGCTGCCTCCAATTTACCTCTGCCCTTCTGCGCTTGGACGGCGAGCGTGAAAGTGCACGCTCAGACATTAAAGCCGGACGTTTTGCATCCTACAGAGAAGATAATGGAACAGATTTAGAATCAATTTAGTATTTCTCTGGCAATCCATTTGGAGGAGTTCCCACTGAGACTGCGTACGCCTCACCCTCTCCGCAGCCATATTTAATAAGATCTGAGAGGAAAAATAAGTAGTAACACTGGGTAGCCTGCTTGGCCTCTCACGTACGCTCTCTGGAAATGAAAGCACGCTGACGGCAAGCTGGCAGCATATAGGACGTGGCCCACGGAAGTGCTGGACTGATCAATATTAAAGAATGCACAGGCAACAGCAATAAACAAGTGAGGCACATGCAACAGGGATGCGAAACAATGAGCAGGTGCGTATACCCTCAAACTCGGGGCGGGTCCCTTTGTACGGGAGGAAAGACGTGCGGCACCGAACACTCGAGCAGGCCACTGTGCGGTCCCGAGAGGCCGGTCTTGCACCGAGAAATGATTTCTTCACAGTCACCAGAGCAGGAGCCCCCGGCTGTTGGCTCAGAACCTGATGGATAAGCCAAGCGCTCGGCTGAGGACGGGAGCAGGACCCCGGGGTGGTCCCGAGTGAGCCCCCCGGCTCCTTGCAGCTTTCACTCGGTTCAAATTGAACTGCCTTTGCTCTTCCGACACAGTAAGTGCAAATATCTTTAATCCGATTCAGTAAAATAGCAGCAAAACTCCGGGAACCAATAAATAAAGACGCTGACAGGCCATGACCCCTTTGCTTTTTGGGCTCGAAGCTTCACAAACATCAAATTTAAACAGAAGCGCCAAACGTTTCTTGACGCGGCATTTGTGTTCCACGTTCTTGTACAAACCACATCGTTTACACCCACCCACAGCCTCCCACAGCAGTTAATAAACTCATTAAGAAACACAGCTAGAAACTCTTAAGGGGTTAAAGCTATAAAATGCCTGCTCGTCGGTGTCTTTTTTTTTTTTTTTTTTTTTAAAAAAAAGGTCTTCTCCTCCTTCCTTTCAAACAAAGCTTTTGTTTCCACTGCCCCCGGCGTATAATCGTTCATTAGGATAATAACATAGCATTTGTTTATTTCTTTTAAAATGACACAGTTGTGTTTCTCTCAAAATAGATGCCACCTTGTTTCTAATTAAACATGATGGATTCAGGGTCCTGGTTTGCCATCTGGGCCATATGTCTCAAAACATCCTTTTTCGTGATGATGCCAAGAAGTCTCCTGGAGAAGAAACGAAACAGAGAAGAGGTCAGCTTTACAATACTGACTCACGCATGTCCTAAACCCCAGGGACCTTGTCACCTGGACACACAGAGACCCTTCCCAGCTTCCCTTCAGTTGGGTGCGGACAACTGAGTGAGCTCTGGCCAACGGCATGTAGGTAGAAAGGAGAAGCGCCCCTCCCAGGCCACCTACACGTTTCCTGACACTCTCTCTCTCTTCAACTGCCAACCAGAGGCAGAGGAGCCGGGGGAAGGGTTGGAGGTCACAGAGGACTGACTTGAAAGCCCCCAGATTCAAAGACCCGGGTCCCCGAACGACTAACTGTACAGTGCAGAGCCCACGCCTGCTGAAACTCACACCGGATGCGACAGAGGGGAAAAATTAATCTATCGTGTTAGGCCACTGGGATGGCCAGCTTGTCAATTACAGCAATAAACCCACGATGACTAACACGGTCTCCTAAATTTCAAGACTATAATCAATTGAAAAAGGGCTCGTGAAAGCCGTTGTCAAAACGTGACCACACCACACGGAAATCCCAAGTATAAGGTATGTGAAATAGAAGATAGCAGCTCATTCCATTTTAAATCTACCTTACTGGACGGATGAAGTTTGACGTTCATATCTCTGACCGTATATGTGAGTTACTTCCACTTCCTAAATTCCACTGCTTTCAACTTAAGAAAAACAAGGCCAGGGGCGCCTGGGTGGCTCAGTCGGTTAAGTGTCCGACTTCGGCTCAGGTCATGATCTTACAGTGTGTGGGTTTGAGCCCCGCATCGGGCTCTGTGCTGATAGCTCAGAGCCTGGAGCATGCTTTGGATTCTGTGTGTCCCTCTCTCTCTGCCCCTCCCCTGCTCGTGGTCTGTCTCTCTCAAAAATAAATATTTTAAAAATTAACAACATAAAATCAAGGCTACTTCCCAGGGTGCCTTGCATAAGGCTACCTGAGACCTTACCCTGCGTGACTCCAAGGAGCACTGGTCACAAACGCTGCAATGTAAATGGCACCACGGACTGTGCAGTGCACGCTCGGACAACCCTTCACAGCAGCCCTTGCCTCAATCTTGATTTATTAGATACTTAAACGACCACCCGCCGGAACAAATCATGCCCCCTTGGCAAAGTAAAAGATTTGAAAGGAGAAGATGTGCAGTCTCTTTGGAGAAAGAAAGTCCCACCGCCAAATGAGTTAGCAAGCAGCTGCTCAGCCTGTCCCCAGCGTGCCCAAGAAAAAAAGAACGGAGAGGACACAATGTGGGGCTGACATTGGAATACTGCAGCTAGTGACATCAAAGATTTCTACTCTGTATGTATGTAAAGTGATGATATGCCCCCAAACCAGAAAACACAATTGTAATACACTGTCATTTATTTAATTAAGGCCAAAACAGCCAAACTCCTCCCTTGCAAAACAGAACTGAATATGAAAAGGGAAATGCCAGTATTCAGAGCACGATTCAACTACGTTACATCTGGTGAAATGGATGCTAGTTAGTGAAACCGTCAGCCCAGAATTCTGACCACGCTGGATCTTAAGCAACCTCGACAAAGCAATTGTTTTCCTGCATTAGCTCGCCCATCTATCACCCGGGCATGGGGGTACGGTGGGGAGAGGGCAGGTACCACCTGTTCCCCTCCATCGCACAGGAACATCTTCAGGAGAGAAGAAAATAGCAAAGGGGGACTTTTTCTGAAGTTTATTTATTTTGAGAGAGAGAGAGAGAGAGAGAGAGAGAGAGGGAGGGAGGGAGGGGCATAAGCAGGGGAGGGGCAGAGAGGGAGAGAGAATCCTAAGCAGGCTCCACGCTGTCAGCACAGAGCCCAATGCAGGGCCTGAACTCACAAACCATGAGATCATGACCTGTGCTGAAATCGAGAGCCAGATACTCAACCGACTGAGCCTCCCAGGTGCCCCACAACGGGGACTTTAAAAGCACCCTAGGTAAAAATAATGACAACACAGATGTCAAAACACTGAAAGCGTCGTGACTCTGTCATGACAAGCCAAAAAATGGGGGGAAATGTACAAAGCAAGACAGAATTAGCAAACCCACACTGTGCATCCCCACTGTAATCACTAGTTTAGTCAATAATTACCAATGGACTCCAAAACCACTTGGCAAATGGTTGCTGGAAAACAAAACATTCCTGAAGATATCTCTCCACAGATTACGTACACAGAGAAAAATGTCCCTTTATAACGGACGGCTCCAGCCACTGCTGCCTCATCTAAGAGGCACAGCTTATCACCAACAAAGTTGGAAAAGCTGATGTTACGACATCATCTCCGTTGGCCTATTGCCAGAAACTACTTAAACCAAATCAAACCACGAGGAAGCAATCAAAGAGATTCAGAATGTGAGACTACTGATTTGGATTCTTCAAAAAAAAAAAAAAATCTATATCATAAATAACAAACAAAAAAAGCCCAAGAGACTGTTCCAGACTAAAGGCTAAAGAGGAAAATGAACCAAATGCAATGTGTGAAGCTTGAAGGAATTCTGGGTTGAAATTTGGTATCAATTAGATACTGAAGGGCAGATACACTAAGTTACTGTTATTCTTGTACAATTATGGTTTAATGGTTACATAAAAGATTTTCCTTAGGGCGCCTGAGTGGCTCAGTCGGTTGAGTGTCCAACTTCAGCTCAGGTCATGATCTCACGGTTCGTAGGTTCGAGCCCCATGTCGGGCTCTGTGCTGACAGCTCAGAGCCTGGAGCCTGTTTCAGATTCTGTGTCTCCCTCTCTCTCTGACCCTCCCCTGTTCACGCTATGTCTCTCTCTCAAATAAATAAAACAATAAAAAAAAATTTAACAAAAATTTAACAACAACAAAAAAAGATGTATGCTTGATTCATAACTGTGAAACCTTGGAAGCAAGCAAGATGGCCTTCGGAAGGTGAACGGATACATAAGCCGCGGTCCATCCTGACAACGGGGTATTATTGAGTGCTGACAAGAAATGAGCTGCCGAGCCGTGAAAAGCCATGGAGGAACTTTAAATGCACATCACTCAGTGAAAGAAGCCAGTCTGCAAAGACAGACTGTACGATTCCAACTCGATGACATTCTGGGGAAGGCAAGACTACGGAGACGGTAAAGAGATCAGCACTTGCCAGGGGTTAGAGGGAAGGGGGAGGGACGAAGAGGCGGAACACAGGACTTTCGGGGCAGTGACATGACTCTGCACGACGCAGATACACGTCAGTCTCCATTTGTCAGAGCCCATGGAGTGGTGAGCCCTCATGTAAACCTCGGCCCTGAGTTCATGCATCAGTATCAGGTCATCGGAGGCAACAAACAAACGTAACAAATGCAAGACCTTAATAAGGGAAAGTGGGGTGACAAGAAGGGCTATATGAGAACTGGGTCCTTTAGGCTCAGTGCTTCTGTGACCCCAAAACTGCTCATGAAAAATAGCCCACGAATTAAGGCAAACGCAGCCTTGTGGGAGAACGTGGCTGCCTGAAGGGAGAGGGCGCTGGTGAAGAAGCAGAAAGCCCGGAATGGCTTTCTGCCCCAGCTGTTCAGAGCTCCTTGGCTTCAACAGAGCTCATCTATTACTTCAGATACATTTCTAGAATGGGTCAGACTGCAGTACAACTGAAGATGTCCCATAAAACACGATGCTGTCCAGCCCGGCTGACCGAGCTCGGGCCGCGTAACAACGGCGCCCCGCAGATCAGGTGGCTGGACGACAGAGAGGACTGTTCTCGCGGCGCCTGAGGCCGGAGGGCCCAGGTCAAGGTGGCGGCAGGTTTGGGGTGTCCGGAGCCTCCCTCCCGGGCTCACAGGCAGCCGCGTCCTCAGCCCCGCTGTGTAGTCCTCTTCTTCAAAGGACGCCCGTCTTACCAGATCAGGGCTCCGGCCTCGCGACCTCACTTAACCTTCCCTCTTTAAGGGCTCCATCTCCAAACAGTCCCGCTGGTGGCTAGGCCTCAACATATAATCTGGGGGGGGATACAGTTCAGTCCCGAACCGTTCTTCCGTTGCACTTAAAATCAAAAAGGAACAGTGACAAGGCGGGCAGCTTATGCCTACAATGGCCACTTGCAGAGGTGTGGTCGGAAGAGAAACGGGAGGGGTGTGAGCAGTCGCGTCCGCAGAGACAGGGCACCTACGGGGCGCTCGTTCGTCCGCGGGGGGGCGGGGAGGGCTCTGCTGCTGGCGATCGCCAAGTAGTAGACCACCCCTCAACCGACCCTGCTCTTACGTCCTCGGACGTTTTCTTTCTTTTTTTTTTTTTAATTATTTTTAATATTTATTCATTTTTGAGAGACAGACAGACATAGAGTGCAAAGGGGGGAGGAGCCGAGAGAGAGAGGGAGAGACACAGAACTGGAAGCAGGCTCCGGGCTCCGAGCTGTCAGCACAGAGCCTGACGTGGGGTTCGATCTCACAAGACAGGAGATCATGACCTGAGCCGAAGTCGGACGCTTCACCGACTGGGCCACCCGGGCGTCCCATCCTTGGACGTTTTCTACTTGAAAGCCTGGCTCAGGACACCCCCCTCCAGAACACCTGGGTAACACCACCTCAACTGGAGGGTGTCCACGTTCCCCAGCAGATGACAAAGTCCTTGGCTGCGTTACTGCTGAGACACCTGGTGAGCTCTCTCCGGGTCCCAAACAGACGCTCCGGAAGGTGGTGATTAAGGCAATGCTGCTTTGCAAAGGTAGGACTTGCTCGTGTTTGCAGAGCGACAGGAATTCTAGGTCACACACGCACCCCTCCCGTGTCTCGGAAGCCTGGTTCCGCTGCCTCGCCTCCACCCCGGAGCGGTCGCACGGCCTCCTCTCAAAGCTCTGTAACTGCAGCACCTCCGAGTCAGGATGCTCACGACGCCTCCGGGGACCTGGGACTCAGCAGCTGCCTCGGCCACGGGCATAAATTGCGCCTCGGCCTGCGACAGTAGTCATCGCTACGGAAGAAAAGGCTGAACGTCCAGCAGGAAACAACATCAGACCCGGCAGAGGCGGCTAATGGCGCGAAATGTCCTATTTGACTGTAATCAAGTGTTTGAACGTCCAGCCCCTTTGGGGAGCAGTTCAAGTGATGAAGTGAACGATAAGGGGCCAATCTGTGACCGTGAACGTATCAAATGAGAGCAGCTGGGCTCTTCTGAGAAGGCAGCCCGTCCATGTCCCGGGGGGCGGGGGACACCTAGCAGGTTCAGGGAAAGCAGACACAGTGTCCCCTGCCCGCCTTTCCTTCTAAGATCCTCGGGGGGGGGGGGGAGACCCCAGCAGTCTCAGCTGCCAGAGGGTTCCCAGACTCAGGTGCTGGTGGGGGGCAAGGACTTCAGTGGCTCCTGGTCTGGCTTCACGACCACCCTGGACCCCCAGGCCCCGAGAATTCCTGCAGGCGACACAGGGCCACAGGCCGAGCTGGGGCTCTCCCCGCGAGCAGGGAAGGCACATGGTGACGGAGCACATCAAACACGCGAGCTGGCCCCAGACACGCCCGCCCTGGCTGGGAGCCCGAGGAGATGAAAGGCCTGCGACCAAGGACCCCCTTGCCAGCAGTAACGTATCAGCATCTGTGTTTGTTTAAAACACGTAGAGTGAGAGAGAGTGCGATTTTGTTTTCTCGCAGAACATTCGGAGCCAATTTCGGCACCCAGATCTTCACAGGAAAACCTCATGGGGCTGCGTGAGGTGTGAGCGGGCGTTAAGGGCAGAATTTCCTGCCAGGACTGGAAATTCCAATGATAACTGACATTGGATTATTATTTTAAAGGAAAAGAGAAACTGCTATGCACTTGAGACACGGCGGGTGATCATAGTGGTATTCATGCTGAGCACTAGAAATTCAAGTATGGAGATGGGCTCCAGCGTTTTGCAAAGTGGAGTCCCGACCAGCAGCAGCACCGGGGAGCTTGCTAGAAATACATATTCGCAGGCCCCTCCCAGACCTGCGAGATCAGTCACTGCTGTGGACTCGACAGTCCCGGTTTAACCTGGGGCTTTGCTTTTTATTATTATTTTTTAATGTTTTATTTATTTTTGAGAGAGAGAGAGAGAGAGAGAGACAGGCAGGGGAGGGTCAGAGAGAGAGGGAGACACAGAATCTGAAACAGGCTCTAGGCTCTGAGCTAGCTGTCAGCACAGAGCCCGACGCGGGGCTTGAACCCAGGAACCGTGAGATCATGACCTGAGCTAAAGTCGGACGCTTAACCGACTGAGCCCCCCAGGCGCCCCTAACCTGGGGATTTAATCTCCGGGGGGGATTCTGCGAGCCACCAACTTCCTTTAAAATGCACCAGCGGAAGTGACCTCTAGCCCCAAACATTTATTTGTTCCTTAATGACTGTCCCTCCCGTGTGCTAGACACCCCCCTAGCCGGAGTCAGAGCTGAGGACACCTGTCGTACAGGCTGGGAACTCTCTGGGTCAGTGCACACGTACGGCTCTTCGCACAGCCTGGGGCGCTGCCGTGGCCAGGACAGTAGGAAGGAAGCAAGGAAATCGAGAGCCCTCACGTGGCTATTCCTGGGCATCTAGTCCACGGGCACTCAATTCCACGGCTGGTGACATTTTGGGCCAGTGACTCTTTGTGGCGATGAGGGCTATTCCATGCATTGCAGGGCGCTCAACAGCATCCATGACCTCTACCCGTGGCCTCTGCCCACTAAATGCCAGGAGCATCCCCTCTCCAGTTGTGACACCCAAAATCTTCGGGGGGGGGGGCGGCAAAATCACCCTGGTTTAGACCTGCCGGGTCGCACTGGAGCGTGGGCTCTGCAACGGAAACTCTGTTAAGAGACTTAAGGCCACAGCTACACTTAGGGATTCGGGGAGCATCTCTGAGCCCGAGGCAGGGCCCCTGAGGCGCCGCACCTCTCACGCCATCAGGAACGCGAGTGTCCTGGGTCACGGTAACACGAAGCAAGAGGCGCACTGCCGCGGCAGAGAGCGTGCCGTGTGGCCGCCGTATCTCTCAGCTCGCCACTAGCCGCTGCTGTGAAAACTGAAGTTGTTTTGAACGGATCTGCTCTATCAGGGAATGGTCTGAGCAATCTGAGCATGACGTGAACTTCACATTTGCGCGTGGGGGATTTCATCCAGGAGAAATGCCAGGTGCGTGCAGAAAACTGCACCCGGCAAAAGCCGGGGGCACAGGGACGCAGCTGACCCTCGAACAACACAGGTCTGAACTGCATAGGTCCCGTTATGTGCAGATTTGTTTCAAGAAATACAGGACAGGACTATGCACGTAGGGTCTCTTCCTTAGGATTTTCTCTGGCTTGCTTACTGCAAGAATATACAGTAGATCATACATATAACAGACAAAATCTGTGTTAACCGACTGTTTACACTATCGGGATGGCTTCCGGTCAACAGCAGGCTCTAAGTAGCTAAGGTTTTGGGGATTCAAAAGTGCCGTGTAGGGGCGCCTGGGGGGCTCAGTCAGTTGAGCGTCCAACTTCAGCTCAGGTCATGATCTCACGGTTCGTGGGTTTGAGCCCCACGGCGGGCTCTGTGCTGGGGACTCAGAGACCGGAAGCTGCTTCGGATTCTGTGTGTGTGTCTCTCTCTGCCCCTCCCCAACTCACGCTGTGTCTCTGTCTCTCAAAACAATACAGAAACATTAAAAAGAATGTAAAAAAGAAAAAAGTACTACATGATTTCTGACTGCGCAGAAAATTGGGGCCCAGGCTGGGTGTTGTTCAAGGTCCAACTGTACACAGCTCGCAAGCGGCAGCCCTCATGACCCCCATCTCTATAAAAAAAAAGTCATCTTCAAGGTAAAGTGATACAGTTATTGCAGTGTTTATGGATTTCCTAACCACTTAACATGCAAAACCCGTGCTTATTTTTTTTTTAATCAGGTTCCCATCGTGTGTGTGCACATGCGCCACCGGAGCCGCGGCGTGTTGTACACACAACCCTGTTTTTCTCATAAGCCCATGCTTTTCATCGCTCCCGGCACAGTGCTCAGTGCACAATGCCAGGGTCACAAGGAATGCGTGCGCCCTCTCCTCTGGCGAGTACCACGTGAGTAACAGAAAAGCAGTCCATCTCTTCTCCTTTGGCTCCTCCCCCTTCTGACTGACCTTCAGCCTCAGACCAGATGGTACACCCCCTCCCCCAAGCCTCTCGCACCTTCCTGGGCTGTGCGGGCTGGCCCTGCGCCAAGCTCCCAAAGGCCCCTGGTCATGGTCATGTCCTGCGCACTGCACTTGCTCACTGAAGCTTCCCGACACCCTCTCCCAAGTACCGATCGGCCCCGGGCAACCTCGAGCCCTTACCCGGGCCGTGTCTCATTCATCTCATCCTCGGAGTCCGGCCGTAGTACACCTCCCGTCCATGCCCCTCCGGCCACTCACCCGCTCCGTGTCACCAGGCACTGCCGGAGCCCCAGTTTCCGGAAGATGTCCACCACCGTCTCCATGGGGGTGTGGTCTGTGACGGTGAACGGGCTGAGGTTGAGGACGCGCCGCAGCTTCAGGGGGTGCGGGCTGTTGGCCGGCAGCTCGGGGGGCTCCTCCGTGAAGTACATGATGGAGTTGCTCACGATACCCTCCTGCCTCTGTCTGGCATTCTCTGCAATGGGCGAGCAGAACTGTAAGCCACACAACAGCCCTTGCTTATTAGCAACTCCCTCCGCCCGTGCCCGCCCTCCATCCGCATCCTAGAGTCCCACAGAGAACGGGGTCAGAGGGCAAATGCCACATTCTTAGCGGGGGGCTTCAGCCAAACATCTGTAAAATCGGCATCTCTCTGAAGCGAATACCATACAAGGCCCCCCCCCCCTTCCGCGGCGACCCGATCATTCACTGCCAAAGTCTTGACACGTGGGCCTGAGCGGGCTGTGGCTTCTCTGGGAGAACGCACCGCCTCCTCCTGGGCTCCAGGGCCCCTTCAGCCTTGCATTCCTAACAGTCCCTCACCTCATCACGGGCTCAGGCTGGACGTGACAAGAAACCTTGCCGAGCCGCCCAATGACCCTAGTAAGTTGTTTTATTTCTTACAAACTAACTTTTAACTGGCCCAAATGGCATTATGAATCCTGAGAGGAACAAAAACCAAGAGACCATCCCAGGCTCCCAGCCCAGAAATGCGGCTCAGTCCCAAATATGACCCTTGGGACCAAAGAAATAGCCCCAGAGAAGCCACCTCCCTCCACCTCCCACCTCTTGGATCTCCTCTCTTAAAAATGGACCACGGTGTGGATTCCTCAAAGAAGGATGGTAAAACGGTTATGGTAACAATTAGCCTCCTTGTATCTGTAGGCGAGCCCACGCAAAAGCAAGCTGAGGGGAAAGTAGGGTAACAGGAACTCATTAGAAATAGAGCTTTCTGCAGTACTAGAAGCCCAGGCTATTTTAAGTCACACATGAAATAAATCCATCGGTCTCAAGATATTTCTCCAAGGCGATTTTCCTTCTGTTGGAATTTTAATCTTTCTTTTGGTTCATGGGAAAGGCTGGGAAAAATAGAGTGTGAGGCTTGCCTTAAAACGGATCCTGGTTTCTATAATACATTTCTTGCCTTCTCAAAGACGCCTATTCCTATATTGTTCTTTGAAAAACAAAATTCAAACTGCCTGCTCTAAGGCCATTTATCGTGACAGGGCGCTCTGATGGGAAACCAGCGGAACTGGGGGGCAGGCTGAGTTTGAAAAAGGATCTCTGTTGAAAAGAGGAACAGAGGGCCCGCTGGGCAAACGCCGGCACATTATGTGGGTCAGGTTAAATCTAGTTACACCCAATGGGACAAGATTCAACCAGATACCGGAAGACGTCAATGCACAGTACGTTTTCGAATGCAGAGGTCACATTAACACACACGGCACCTTCCTCTCCTGGATCAAGAAGGTTCCGGACGGAGGCACTAAGGTGAGGAAGGGACAGTCAACACAGACTCCCGTGCTCATTTTCACAGACCGACCAATTCTCTAAAAGTCCCATGTGACGAGAATGCCATCTATTTCAACAGTCAGGCTGACTGGATCAAGGATCAATCCTTCTCAGGACTGGATCAAGCCACAAACCTCAATCAAGAACTGAACATGTGATTTGCTGAAGCCCTTATAAAACCCAATACAAGACCCGGTGAACGGTCAATCTACTTGTTGAAACAAGTAACAACCCTAGAGATGTCCTCTGAATCCCCTGATCGGGTTAGAAGCCCTGATTCTAAGAGCAGCTAGTTCAGTGATTTCTGGCTCACCACTACATTGCCAGTGCCTGGACAACCTCTGGTATACAGTAGGCACAAAACGATATGTGCCCAATGCATGCATGAATCGCTCAACAAGTGAATGAATGAGTGAGTAGGCCTGCTAAGTGTCGGCGTGCTGGGTTCCACCCGCCAGGTAGAACCGAGCCTATTTCACCAGCAAGAAAGCTTTCTGCACCGCCCTGCCAGGGTGAACCATCTACTACCGGCTCAGACAAGAAATTGTCAGTCACCAAAATGCCTACAACAAACTTCAGCTTGTGCGCTCGCAGAGGGCACAGCCTGGCTACTGCCATCCCGCTCCTCCCGGCTCCGAGAGCTGTGCCAGCACATGGCAGGCACACAAGAAAGAGTCCCCATGAGGGGCGCCTGGGTGGCTTAGTCGGTTAAGCGTCCGACTTTCGCTTGGGTCATGATCTCGCGGTTCGTGGGTTCGAGCCCCGCGTCGGGCTCTGTGCTGACTGCCGGCTCAGAGCCTGGAGCCTGTTTCAGAGTCTGTCACTCCCTCTCTCTCTGACCCTCCCCTGCTCACGCTGTCTCTCTCTCTCTCCTAGAAATAAATAAAAATATTTAAAAAAAAAAAAAAGAAAGAGTCCCCATGAGAAAGCGTAAACCAACTCCCCGCCCAGAGGACGATCCTGTGCTACCAGAGTGTAGACTCCCAGACCCCAGGGAGTCATGAAACCTGGGTCAGAAAAGAAACAAACAAAAAAAGCCCCAGGTTTACATATGTGAAAGACCTAAGAGACAACAAGGAAATGCACTAAATATGAACTATTAACCATGGCCTTCGATGGCGTTGAGAAAGTGGGTGCCTTTTTGTTCCCTTTTACTTCTGATTTCCCCAATGTTCTATGCATATGTATTACCCTTTTTTTAGTGTCTTTCTTTTGAGAGACAGAGAGCAAGCGAGGGAGGGGCAGAGAGAGAGGGAGACACAGAATCTGAAGCAGGCTCCAGGCTCTGAGCTGTCAGCACAGAGCCCGACGCGGGGCTCGAACCCACGGACTGTGAGATCATGACCTGAGCCGAAGTCGGACACTTAACTGACTGAGCCCCCCAGGCGCCCTGAATATGTATTACTTTTAAAAATAAAAATGTAATAGGGGCGCCTGGGTGGTCAATCGGTTAAGCGCCCGACTTCGGCTCAGGTCATGATCTCATGGTTCACGACTTTGAGCCCCACATCGGGCTCTTTGCTGACAGCTGGAAACCTGGAACCTGCTTTGGATTCTGTGTCTCCCTCTCTCTCTGCTCCTCCCCATCTCACTCTGTCTCTTTCTCTCTCAAAAACAAACATTTAAAAAAAATTTTTTTAATAAAGATGTAATCAACTTCATTTTTAATTGTTTTAAAGATCAACTAAACTGTTCTTGATATAAGAGATTTGTTCTATACCCTAACAGTACTAGGGTCAGTGGCCACAGCTCCTGAAAATAAGGTTTATTTTGTGAGTACCTGCTACGGTTATTCAACTTGACGTTTCACCTTCTAGCAGCAATACAATGACAATGCCAAGTACAGAAAGGGTAATTAAAAGTGCTGGCAAGGGGCACCTGGGGGGCTCAGTCGGTTAAGCATCCGGCTTCGGCTTAGGTCATGATTTCACGGTTCGTGGGTTCGAGCCCCACATCGGGCTCTGTGCTGACAGCTCAGAGCTTGGAGCTTGCTTCAGATTCTTTCTCTCCCTCTCTCTCTGCTCCTCCCCCATTAATGTTCTGTTTGTTTCTGTCTCTGAAAAATAAATAAAAGCTTAAAAAATGCTTAAAAAATTGTTTTAAATAAATAAATAAATAAAACTGCTGGCAAGTCAAAGTATCAGATGTGAAATTTAAGATACCAAATAGATGAACTTAAGGGAAGGGAAGCAAAAATAATGTAAAAACAGGGAGAGAGACAAGACATAAGAGACTTTTTATTTTTATTTTACTTTAACTTGTTTAATGTTTGTTTATTTTTGAAAGAGAGAGACACAGAGCACAAGCGGAGGAGGGGCAGAGAGAGAGGGAGACAACAGAATCGGAAGCAGGCTCCAGGCTCTGAGCTGTCAGCACAGAGCCCAAAGCGGGGCTCGAATCCACAAACCGTGAGATCATGACCTGAGCCGAAGTCGGACGCTTCACCGACTGAGCCACCCAGGCGCCCCCATAAGAGACTTTCAAATATAAAGAACAAACTGAGCGGTTGGGGTGGGGGGGATGCACTAAATGGGGGAGGGGCACTGAGGAGAACACTTGTTGGGATGAGCACTGGGTGTTATATACATAAGGGATGAATCACTGGATTCTACTCCTGGACTCATTATTGCGCTATCTGCTAACTAACTTGGATGTGAATTTTTAAAAAATAAAATAAAAGAGTGCTGGTAAATTTCACAAACTATGACAGACCAAGACATTTTAAGACTGGAAATAACCATATATCCTGTAGGCTATTCTCGCAGCTTTATAGCAATGGTTCTCAACGGGGAGCAATGTGGCCCTGACCCTTCGGAGACGATTAGAAGTATCTGGAGACATTTCTGGTCGCCCTAACTGGGGGCTGGTGTTGCCACAAGCACCGAGTGGGGGACCGAGGACACTGCTAACCGTCACACGGTGCACAGGACAGCCCTCGCATGAAAGGATGACCCAGCCCCAAACGTCAATACTGTTAAGGTTGAGAAGTTCTACTTCAGAGTCATTGTGTTTTTAGAGAGAATACTCTACCACTCTGATCATCAAAAATGCTCTCACATGACAGATGTAATTAACTAGAAAGGTTAAAATGGAAAACTGAAAGCAACTGTCGTGGTGGTGGTCAGTACAAAGATGCGATTAAAAAACAAACTATTTAGAAGAAAAAGCAGAGGATTTCATGGTAAGTTCCAGTTTGGCGCGGCATGGAGAAGCCCCCCCCCACCCCCCGTATGTGTGTGTCAAGCCCCAGCAGAAAGCAGATGACACCGCCGCTCTCCCACCATCCACAGCCCTCCCAAGAAGAAACTGCTTTATCCCTAAATGGCCCTTCCAACGGATCTAACACTTTGTTCAGTTCTGGACATAGATCCCTTTCTGCAAGCTAGCATCTTCCACATGCTGGAGAATCGTCATTAAATCACCCACCAGACGAAAAAAATGAGCGTTCCCGTAACTCTTGCCTGTGACTCTGACTTTCCGTCCCTTTAATCATCTTTGCGGCTTCCCGCTGAGTCCTCTCTGAACCCGTCCTCACCTAATTGCAGAATTCAAGACTAGAAGAGTCTGAGCCCTGCTGAGCACAGAAAGAGCCTCATATTTGCAAACAGCACTGAAAGGCAAAGCCCCATTTACTGGGAATTTGAACGAGGGTCACACACGGCCCCATGTGTCAGTATGTGATGGGGGAGGGGTGCACGTCCTCCGTGGGGCTACCAAATCGCTCTTTAACAAGGACAATGGCTATGGTCTGGCATTCCAGAGATGTCTGAAAATAACAAAACGTTTTCAGCTTCATGTGAGCAGTTCCTATTATTTTAACACGACCCGTAAAAAAGATCCTTATTTGCCTCAGTTACCGTTCTTATCCAGGCTATCTCAATCTACCTATCTGTAATCTTTGTTCCTAATTCCCCTGAAAATGCAATTGGCATGAAATAGTCACTAGCAAAATGCTAAAGTACTAGTTCTAGATTCACGAAAGGTCACATAATTCTGCAAATACCAGTCACATATTTCTCCACCCGAGTACGGGGACCCCTCTTGTCACAGATGAGGAAAACACCCTTTCTGGTTGCTTTGAGGGAAGCACTCCTCGCCTTTCCACAAACCCTGTAAACAGCAGCTTCTATACCATTATCGGTCTGATTGAAAGCATACTGGTATTATTTACCCGGCGTGTTGCCTTTTTAGACATTCCAAACATAGCTTCCAAGAGAGCACTCCGTCGCAAGCTTAAATTTCTTCCCTAACCGGTTGATGACAATTATTGCTTCCCACTTGATTACAGTAATGGGTTTCAGCGAAATTAGTAAGCTGTCTCTTAGCAGGTGTGCCTGCAGCTACACAATAGGGTAATGGATCTGGTGACATTTATTACCTTAGTTTTTAAATTTCAACCTTTGCTTAAAAGATTTTAGGGATTGAATGGATTTTTAGAGGCTGCTGATTACATTATTTTAAAACAAACCCAACCCTACTTATACAGCTTAAAACAGATCTCATTATTTATAAGGCAATATTTATGCCCAAAGGCACCTACCTGTTAAGCAAGAGGACCTATGAGAAAGAGAAGCACCACCGGGCACGTAAGCACAAATGCGCCATCGTGTGTAAAATATAAACTCAGTTGTTGCTTTGAGGAAGGTAAGTATGTTTGAGCAACAAGCTCAAATTAGAGGATACGGCCTATCTAGACTTATTTTTATAAAGCCTTTGATGAAGATACCTTAAAGGTATTTTTTAAATGTTTATTTTTGAGAGAGAGAGAGAGAAGACACGCGCAGGGGAGAGGCAGAGAGAGAGAATCCGCAGCAGGCTCAGAAGCAGGCTCAGTGCCGTCAGTGCAGACTCTGATGCCGGGCTCATGCAGACTCTGATGCAGGGCTCGAACCGAACCGTGAGATCATAACCTGAGCTGAAGTGTGACTTAACAGACTGAGCCACCCAGGCGCCCCTAAAGATACTTTAAAAGCTATTTAACATCACAAAGTGATTTTAGAAACTCAAAAGGACCCTCGGAGATAGTTAACCAAGGGCAGGGATAAGCCATTGGTCATCTGGCGAAGGTGTCCACACCCACCCAAGTCCCACTGGCCAACTTAAATACGCTGCAAGACAGGCCACAGGGTAAAGTCATCAAGCATCCACACGAGCCGTGCCTCGGCCCACCGTGAGCTCCGGACCCGGGAGCGGATCACGAGAGTGAGCATGCTGGGCGGGACGGCCCTTGCGCTGGCCACACGCCACGGGCGGGACCCACCCCGAGGGGTTCTCCAAGCTCACTGTCCTCCTTCCTAGGTCTCCACATGCCTCACGCCCAGCCCTTTCTCTTGGGAATCCTTCTACCCCCATCCCTCTGTCCATGCAGGCACCCCTAGGCTGACGCACCCGCAGGCTTGCTGCTCAGAGCCACCGGTCTCTGGCACACCCCACCGGGGCGTCATCCACTCGCTCCTGTCCCAAGTCCACAGCCGGCCCCTCAGCCCGGCCCATCTCACGTAGCACACGGGGAGCGAGAGCACCACACGGAACCAACCCACAAGGGCCTCGAGCTAGTGGGACGGGACATAATGCCACCGAGCGAAGCCAAGGGTTCGTGTGGTGCCCAGGGAGGCGTCCGAGACGGAGAACTCACCACAGAAGTCGGTGAGCCGGCCTGAAAGCCTGCGTCGCAGACCGCCTCGCCCTGGCCGGGGCCGGCGCCCCCTCCTCCCTCCTTCACAGCCTCGCCGGACAACCCCTTAAAAGAGGCAGCCGCAGCAGCGGGCCCCATGGGCTGCGCGCAAACAGCCAGCCATGTCTCTCCCTAGACGTCGTCCCTCCCAGGGTGAGCTGGGGACCCGCGGCCTCACCACTGACCGGGAGCCGGGGAGAAATGCAGGGGTCGCCTGCGTGGCTCGGTCGCTTGGGCGTGTCCCTCTTGATTTCGGCTCAGGTCATGCCCACCTTGGGCTACGTGCTGAGCATGGCGCGTGCCTGGGACCCTCCCTCTCTGTGCCCCTCTGCCCTTCTCCCCCGATCGTGCACCCTAGACCTGCCGAATCAGAATCTGCATTTCCTCCATATCCCCGAGGGACATGTGGATGTGTTAACGCGCGGCGCCCCCGGCTTGGAGCCCTCTGGCCTCCGCAGTCTACCTAGAGAGCTCGGGGGCTACAAAGGCTGCCATTCGCCTCTTAGCGCGTCACGGGCTTCCTGACTTTACTTACTTATTGCAAGAATCAGTTCCCTCCTCTGGGCAAAGCCAATGAGGCGCTCGGAGTCCCTGGAGACCACCACAGGGAAGCCGTTGTAGTCGGTGTCCTTGATGAGCGTCTCCACGTCCTCCACGGTCATGCTGTCCTGGGTGAGCACGGACAGAGGCGGCTCTCCGCGCCGTGGCCGCATGACGTCGGTGGCCAGCGTGCGATGCGTGAACTCGTCCTTCACATCCAGAAATGGGTACCCATTTAAGTGGATATGAGCCTCGTAGATGCCTTCTTTCCCAAAGGCATCGGCCACCCACTTGCTGGTCACGGCCGCCGCCATCAAGGGCACAATGTACTCTAGGCCTCCCGTCAATTCAAACATGATGACCACCAACGACACCGTCATCCTGGTAACGCCACCTGCAACCGAAGAGAGGAGCACAATTCTGAAACTCGTCTCCGGGCCTGGGGGGTGGGGGGGGAGGGGGTTACGGAAGCGGACAAGCTGGCTATAAATTCTCCGACACCCGTTGTGAAGAGACAGTGCTCCAGGTTGCCCGTGGAGGATCTGGGCCACAGAGGCCAGGCTGTTAAGGGCAGCCTTGCCCCAGGGAGCCCGAAGTCACGTCTGATGGGGCGGAGGCGGGGGGGTGCTTGTTCAGTGAGGGACAACGGGGCTGTCTCTATACCCAAGACCACATGCCTGGCTCTTGGGTGAGGGGACCCTACGTGGGCTGTGCATGTTTCTGAAACAGCAAATGCGGCTCTTTTCCAGAACCCCATGAGCTAGAAAGCTGTAGAGATTCCTAGGAGTTACAGACAGGAGAGAGACCCAACTCTGTGTCCCTCAGTATTTAAAAGGAGACTGGATACCAGCCCCTACTGATCCTCCAGTAAATGAGCTCCCACTAGACTTTCTGGATCTCAGTACTAGGAACACTGGGGACTAGATCTTTCTCTGATGGGGGGCTGCACTGTGTACTGTGGGATGTTTAACACCACCCTCATAGGTGTGACAACCGGAAATGACTCCTCCATTGTCCAGCGTTCCTGAGAAGCACAGCGCCACGCCCCCCCCCCCCCCCCCCCCCCCCCCCCCCCCCCCCCCCCCCCCCCCCCCCCCCCCCCCCCCCCCGCCAGGTGAAACCCACCCTTCTAGAAGGTGCAGCTGCAAGAGGGGCATTCCTAGCCCTGGGCTCTGAATGACGGAGTGGAGGAAAGCCCTCTACTAACTCAAACACTCTCTCTCTCTCTCTCTCTCTCTCTCTCACACACACACACACACACACACACACACACGCACACACACAGTTGATTGTCACTGCTTGTGGTTGTTGTGTCTATAAAGTCATCACAAACACTGAACAAGGAAACACTGAATCAGTGCCCGACAGGAAACATAAGGTCAGGTCTCTGTGAGTTTCCAGGCACAACCAATTGTCAACCGATCAATACCGAACCTGATTTTATGTGTATTTCTGTTGAAAGACCGCACATTTAGGATATGTGGATGACTCGTTAACATTGAACTCACAGCCAGGAGCGCTGTACCTCAGGCCCGAAGGGAGCTCTCCGCACACCCATTTTCTCCATAAGAAAATGCTTGGCATCACCGGACAGCGCCTCAGCCCTGTGGTCAGAGGGCAGCTGAAGCAGCAAAACCACGAACCAGAAGCACAAAGGCGCCAAAACATGGCACTGACTAGACCACTGAGAGATACTTGCGCCTGGTAGTCAAGCTGAGACCAGAAGGCGGGCCTTACCCTTGTCCACCCAGAGCTGGGACCGCACATGCCACACAAGACACTTGCCACCGCTCTGTGCATGTCTCAGGACGACAGCAAACGCACCCCAAGTAGTGACCTAGGGGGTCACAAATGCGAGCAAGTGGGAAATTCCCAAACGTGGGCTCCTCGAATGAGGGCCGAGCGCACATCATGAAGGAGATAAGCCTTGGTGCGCCAAGCCGCGGGGACTTCGGGAGTGCCCCGGGGCAGCAGCACGAGCCTGCCTGGCCTGACAATGCCAACACTCGAGTCCCTGCCTTCCTTGTCGCCGGTGCCCGAGCCTCAGCCGCCCTTGCGCTCTGTCCAGCCCGCCCCCCACCCACCGGGGCTGTACCTAGGCAGGCGGCTGCTCCCACCATGGCGTAGAGGCCGGGGGTGACGCAGTCCGCTCCGGGCCTGCACCAGTTCCTGAAGACGATCCAGTCGTGGTGATGGTAAGCCAGCTGCTCCACGCCGATTCCCACCATCCTGCCTGCCATGGCGCCCACAGCCATGCTGGGGATGAAGAGACCTGACGGGATCTTGGGGGCGGGGAGGGACATAGGGAAAAGCAGCATGAGGGGAGGAGTCCACGCGCCCCACTCCCAGCGAGCGGTCCCCCCTCAACAAGCTTGCATTTGCCTCAGTCTTCAGAGGAGGGGCCCCCTGGGCAAAGGCGGGCAGAGGGATCCCACCCGCTGAGTCGGTCCCAGCTACCGGGACTTGGATGGAATGCAATTCTGCACTTGCGTCTCCTCTCCTCGGGGAGCGGGCCCGGCTTCCCTGCTGCGCGCTAAAGAATGACAAGCCCCGCTGCAAATGACATTCAAAGTGAGCATCGGCCACTTGAGATACTCCCCACTCTCCCTCTCTCCTTGTGCGCCCTTCAGATTAGCTTTAGAAATGAAATGTCAAGGCCCCAGCATAAGAATGGAAAAGAAGGGCGCGTGGCCATTCATGGGTCACACAAAGCAGGTCAGAGCAGCTGCCCTGCGTCTCTCGAAGCTTCTCACGGGTCCGCCATCCCCGTGAGTACTCAACGGCCCAACACCTGCCAGAGAGACGGGACCGTTCTGTCGTCCGGACAAAGTGCACTTTCCACAAAGTATTCTGAATACTCTCGAGCCGGGTGAAAGGCGGCAAAAAAACAGACTACGTAAACTGGGAGACGGTGGTAGTAGCGTGATTCACATTTTGCCGTGTGGAAATGCGTTCTGATTTATCTCGTGACCAGACGCGTGCTCCACAACGTGCCTGATTCTGTGTGCTCGTGGGGACCGTGCGTGACCAGCAACCCCGAGACTGGGAGCTGCCTTGACACTCCCTCCCGAGACGGCCGTCAATCTGAGGATGGAAGTGGATTTGCAACCACATTCCAGGGAAGTTTGGATCCTCATTTCTAGTGCCTGGGATGTTCCTGAAATTTCCTTTCTGAGCCGCCCCCGATCCCCAGGCATTTAACTCCCTGTAACTGCAAAGGACGCTTCTCCTGGCAGTCACCGGATGAGGCCACAAGCGTCTTTATTAGCCGCACAAATAATCCGTTTGCTAGGAGATGACGGGTCAGAGACAGCTGGCTGTTTAATAATGCCCACCCATCCTCATTCTTAAGGCAAAAATCCAGGTTTGCATTTGACCATTACACACTCAAGTACCCAGTTTCTTAGGCTTTGTAAAAAGAAACAAATCATAAAAGGACCACACAGAGAGCAACGGTAATGGAAGGCTACAGGGGCTCTGCAGCGTTTGAAATGTTTGGCTTCTGGTCCTGGGTGCTCATACACAAGCGTGCGTTTTGTGCAAACCCCTCAAGCTGTCCACATTGCCGTATGAACAACGAACTCTGAGCCTTAGCTCCTTCACTTGTAAAGTGATTAAAATCTCAGTTTCACAGGCTGGTTTATCAAAAGCACTGCTTATCGATTAAAAGAATGTCAAGTGCCTGGCATGAGAGAATGGTCAATAAAGGTCAGTTCCCCTTTCGCCCCCCCATCACGATTTTATTTTTTAATTTTCTTCTGAAGTTTATTTGAGAGAGAGTGTGCGCCAGAGCGCACGCACAAGTGGGGGAGGGGCAGAGAGAGAGAGGGAGAGAGGATCCCAAGTGGGCTCTGCACCGTCAGCGCGGAGCCCAACACGGGGCTCGAACTCAGGAATCGCGAGATCGTGACCTGAGCCACGATCCAGAGTTGGCCTCTTAACCGACTGAGCTCCCAGGTGCCCCCGTGACGATTTTACCTTGGCAAGCAGGGTGCCGACCCCAGGAGGACGAGTCGCCCCCCACATCTTCCCTCCCCTTCACTCACCTTCATGCCAAACGTAAAGATGGTAATGACGATTTTGAAGATCAGCGCCAGGGCCAGCTGCCACATGGCGGTGTACACCCCCACCCCGGCCGGCCGGTCCGGGATGTCGTCCACAGGCCGTGTCATGTTGGGGTCGTTGATGTAGTCACAGAGCTGGGAGGACTCGAGGGCCCCGCAGTCATTGAACAGCTCAGAAATGAGCTCGCTCGTGCTCCGGCGCGTGTAGGGGTTGGGGTAGGCGATGATGGCGGTGACGGCGGTCACCACGATGACCTCCAGCACCGGGTACTTCCCCAGCTTGGTGGTTTTGCGCCTCCGGCACCAGGCGATGTTGCTGCGGATGAAGAGCGTCCCCCACAAGCCCCCGAACACCCCCAGCAGGATGAAGGGGAAGAGCTCGGCCATGTACCAGGGCGTGTGATACTCCACGTAGAAGAGAACGAGACGGCTGTTCCCAAAGGGGTTGATGGATCGCAGCGTGAAGGCCGCCACCAGGGCCGCGAAAAAGGACCTCCACAAGGTCTTCAGGGGGAAGTAGTAACTGACCTGGGACGAACAAGCGGAAACTCAGGGAGTGGCTGAAGACAGGGCCGCGCAAAGCCCCGGCCTCTGACCCGCTGCCACCCGCCGGCGCCTAGCGTGACAGTCCCACTCGGACCGAACGTGGGCAGTACTCGCTTCCTCAAACTGGGTCCAGTTAGGACCACGACGCACCAGCGGAGGCACTGAAAGGGCCGTGTGTTTAAAAGCAGAATAGATGCTGCTCAAGACATGTTTGAGCTATTTGTCAAGAGAAGTGAAAATATCTCATTATGCTTCTGTTTAGGTCACAAAGACTCTCCTAAAGGCAAATAAATCTGACTCTATGGACAACAGAATAGGTCAAGGGCTGGAAAACCCGGCCTCGCAAACGTACTTGCGCGGGCACGTGAGTTAAGAATGGTTTTTACATTTTTAAATGCTTAGCGGGGGCGGGGAAAAGAACCATTTTGTGACATCTGAAACGTTCAAAAGGAAAAGCAGGGTCTTGTGACATGCGAAAGTCATATAAAACCCACACCCCAGGGCAGCCACAAGGCCACGATGACCGAGCCGAGCAGTTCCAAGCGGGGCCGGAAGCCCCACAAAGCCCAGAATATTTACGCTCTGGCCCTTTGCAGAGAGCAAGTGCTGACCCCTGGAGTAGATCCGTTCAGCTCGCCAGGACCGACAACGACTCACTAGGCTGGTTATGAGACAGACAGACTGCAAACTTCCAAAAAAAAGAAAAGAATCACACGGCGATTTTTAAAATACTTGAAAACAGGTGGTTAGTGGCAAAAACTGGGGCTTCTTCACGAGCTGCAGGAATCTTGTGAAAGCCCCTTCGAATGCAGCCCCCAGAGCCTCCTGCGGAGCCAGCCCCCCACGTGCCTCACCCCTCGGGCCACGCGTCCCGCCCCCGCTCACCTCCTCAAGGCTGAAGAGCACACCTCCTATCGGAGCCCCAAAGGCCACGGAGACTCCGGCGGCGGCGGCAGCCGAGAGCACCTGCAAGGCAAAGGGCGCCATGTGGGCCCGCGCGCGCGTGTGCGCGACACGTTCCAGGGCCCCCGGGAGACCGTCCCCGAGGACGGGAGCGGAGCCCGCTCACCTCGCGCCTCTTGCCCTCATTCTTGCTGTACTTGGAGAAAAGGCTGCTGAAGAAGTTGCCACAGCAACAGGCCACGTGCACCAGCGGCCCTTCCTTCCCAAGGCTCAGGCCCGAGGACACTACCAGCACCAGGGTGACGGTCTTGATGAGCAGGGTCCACTTCCCCAAGTAGCCCCGGATGATGAAGCCACTCAAGATGGTCTTGATCTGAAACGGAACGCGGTGGAGCGAGCCCTTCGATGCCACAGCGAGGAAAGTGACAAGTCCCCCCACCCCCTAGATTCACCGGATCATTCCCAAGGACAGGCTACTTTCGTCCTGGATTTGGCTAGGATTTTATAGTAACAATTTATAACAGCACGTAATTTTTTCATTAATGATAACTTGGAAACATTCAATGCATAACAAATCTGGAGAATTTCTAAAGTAGTAAGAGATCATAATGCGGCCTGAAGAAGCGACTATCAGGGTCTCATTTTCTTTAGGGCATTTTATCCTGTTCACGTTCGCCTCTGTTGTGTTGAAGACAGACGTGTATCTATTGATTTGAACGGTTAATTTTTTACTACTGAGGGACGTCCGAGATAAAGAGGTAGAAGGCTGGCTGACTGTGTGACAGCAAAGAACAAAATGGCAACTGGAGCGTTAGTCGGGGTCTGCAAACTCCGACCCAGGGGCTACATCCAGCCCGCTGCCTGTTTTGGTATGAGCCACAAACTCGGAGTGCTTTTAACATCTTTAAATGCAATGTGTAAACCAGACTACTAACCTTTTACTGAGAACAGTTGCTAGACTTTGCCTCTCGGTTCACAAAGCCTAAAATATTGACTCCCTGCCCTTTTCTGGAAAAGTCTGCTGACCCCTGCAGCAGGCCAGGGGTCTGGGGCTTTACCGCTCAATTATTTCAACTTTTCTATGTGTCTGAAAATATTCTTAACACGGTATCGGAAAAAGAAGATGCTCACCATTCTAATAGCGCGTCGTCAGGGGATGTAACGATGACTGGGTCCAGGGCGAAAAGGTAGAGTCACCTTTGTTCCTTTTGCAGATCTCCCCGCATTTTCAAAGGCCAAATAATGGCTTTCCTACTCAAGGTGCAGTGTGCCTCACGCTTTTAGAATTCAACTGGGTGCCAATCTCCGTGACTGATTTCATATACTGGGAGTCCTCCTTACCCCAAATCCCTATTCTTTGGGTCCAGAAGCATCACCGACGCGGAAGTAATTTTTTACCTTCAACCTCTCCCACAACTGGCTGAAACGGAGCGAATGTTTACCGTCTGAGCTGGCAGCTTACAAGTCTGTAATGAGTAAGTCAGCCAATGACATCCGTGGTCAGCTTCTGTTTTCCCATCGCATAAATACAGAATGGGACAATGTTATGTCTCGTCAGTGTCAGGACGCTGGCACATCCTCCGAGTGCCTCCTAGTGGACACTGTTATGCCAAGAAGTTAATTTCTCAAATAGCTATCACAGTCCTTCTCAAGCTTGGAGCTCGAAACCAGTGAGGAATGGCTCTCCCCCCAGAGAGCTGATGCAGTCGGTCTGCGGGGGATTCTGGGGCCTGGGGATTTTTACAGCCTCCCCAGGGTGATTCAAAAACGCAGCCCATGCGCAGAAGCACTGCTCCAATCCCGAAAAGAGTGGTACGGGTATTCCTCAGCTCTCCGTATTCAAGGGATGCTCCCCGAACATTCTCCGGCATCACATCACCTTTGGCAATTTGGGGCGGGGGTTGTGAACTGAGCTAATCCTCCAATTTTAAAGGGGTCTGAATGGAGCACTGTCATCTACTGATGGAGCTCCGTTTCTTAATTCACGGAGAAATACCAAGCGCGAGAGCGTGCGGGCATGTACCCTAAAAAGCACAAGTGAGGTCTTCTAGCGATACAATCGGACAGTGTCTCTTAAACTAGCCTTTCACCAACGGCAGACAAGCAAGCGGTGCGTCTTTCACTAGTGGTAGTTGGCCTCTTTGAGCCCACCCCCAGGGGATCTCAGATCCCTTTATTTAAGGGATGTTTTACTATGCCTGCCACAGTCCTGCCCTTTTGCGTTGCCTCGAATAAAATTATCTATAATTTTTTGTCAGTTAGTTAATGTCGATTTGGACCCTAGGGTACAGTTTAAGAGCGTCATACCATTTAGAAAATTACAAGCATCTAAATTACCTGAGCCTCTACCAGCCGTGACATGTGGTGAATTGAACGATGTAATAGGTATTTTGTAATTCTCTAAAATGATTTTATAAAATTGTCACGATGAAATTAGGAACTAAAGAAAGCAAACTCATTCCCGGCAAATGCCAAAATGTAATCACCTGCTTAAGATGAATAAATAGAGACAGAATCAAGCGGGGCTTTAACAGGATATCTTGGGGTGGCTCTGGGCCCTTGGGGTGTGGACTGTAAAACCTTTCTGGGAAATAAACACTGGTGAGCATGTTCACACTTTGCACTGAAGTGAAACATCAATTCAAAGGAACTTGTAAGAGGACATTTCTTCTGAGGTCAACAGGGGTTCCACCGACAAAGCAGATGAGAAAGGGGGACACCCTTGCCTCCTTCTCTCTAAATCCTCAAGTCCAAGAACTAGTGTGCACTTTCCAATGCGCTTTATACAAGAGCATGTATTACACAAAATAAATGTCCTCTGAATTTGTATTTCAAAAAAGGTTTCCAAAGGAATGTCCTTCCCACGCAGTTAGTCTCTTTGCTAACCTGAGGGTGAATGGCCTTGTATCTCACTTTGCGTGAAGTCAGTTTACCTAGTCAGATGGGTTTCGACTACGAGGTTCTTTTTAAGCGTGAACCATTTACATTTTCTTTTCCCGCTGCCCCTTTCCTCCGAGACCTGGGGAAAGTACTGTACCCCAAGGTTAGGGATTTCAAGTTGTAGTATGCGAACAGTGAAACTGTTGCTACTACTGACTTATTGTAACCGAAACTTAATTATAAAACCGCCATTGGCTTCCTGGCACTTTAAAAGATCACTGTGAGCTCTTTCGTAAATTGAGAAACACATCCGTTATAGGTTATATAGGATTAAAAAGCATATTAATAAAGCAAGCACCCACATACCCGTATTTCAGATCGAAGGATGGGCACCCACGAAAGCCCTTGGTTTGTTTCCTCAGTGGAACTTTCTCCCTTCCCGATCCCAATCATTTCCTTGCCTTTCCTTATACCGTCCGTGTACGTGTGTGTCACTAATCGGGGTGCAGCTTCGTTATGGCTGTTTGTGGACTTTACGGAAATCATACGTGACATATTCTCCTGCCGCTTTCTTCACTCGACACCAGGCTGTGCCTTGCACGTTTGCCGCACAGGAAACGGAAGGCCTGGCTCAGGATTTAACTCCTTTCCAGTTCGGCTGTCACGAATAGATGCCTGCTTCGGACAAAGGCCAAGTGCAAGCAGCCCCTCACAGAGCTCACCTCCAAGCCCCCTGTCTGCCTACGAGATCGCAAGTTTGGCCACATTGCTGGAAGGGGAAGATGGGATTGCCCAGCACCCCTTTTATTGCCGCTTTAAATTTTCCAATTCCTCATCGGCCCCCTGCTCATTGTGGAAAGGCGACTTGGGTCCCCCCACCCCCCCAAAAAAAAAAAAAAAAGCCTACCGTCGGGCAGTGGGATCATAAACCCAAGAGGCCAACCCCAGTCTGCTCTTTTTATCAGCTGGGGTGCATCAGCTTAGACACCAAACACAACACAGTCCATTTGGCCACAGTGCTTGCTTTGAAAACACATTTGTTCCACCGTGATTCATGCGTTAGGGAAGAACTTGAGCATAATGCAAATTTCGCGCCTTGTTTCCGCGCAACTTCATCTGGGACAAACAGGGCGCGAGCCTGGAAAACCACGCCGGCTGTATGGAGCCGTGCAGGAACGCACGAAACACACACAGCACGTGCCTCTAGCAGTTCCCACGTTCACGGGCGAGTATAGATCTCTTAACCATTTAACGTGTGCAAACTGGGCTACTGTTTTGACTGGGTTTCTGTCTTTGCTCTGTGTGTCGCTGCAGAAGTCTCTGCGTGGTGCGTGCCTGGCGCCTGCTTCCCCACAAGCGCCGTGGTTTCTCTTGTGCGATTCTGCACGGCCCTGTGAGCCGCGGGGACACCTGTGTCACGCTGAGGCAGAACTGGATGGTACTGCGGCTCGCCTTTCAGCTTCCTGCGGTAATGTGTTCATACAAACCATCAAAAAGTCAACATGATGTATTTTTTCTCTCTTTCCTGGAACAGGACAACACTGGGCTTTTCTTTTGACACTCCAGCCCTTTCCACAAACCGCCTGGAACAGCGGCAGTACTGGCAAGTGCCAGCAAAAAGCGTGGGCACAGGGGAGCAGGGACCGATGTGGGGCTGTTGCCATCATCGGTCAAATCTCTAAACTTGCCGTCTCCACCGCCTGGGGGCGCTGCCGAAACACCAGCCTGAAGGCAAACTGAACTGCATCCATAGAGCGTAAGAAAACTGGTGGGCTTGTTTCTGGCTAAAATGCTCAGCGGCGGGGCTTTTGGGGAATTAGCTCAATTATCATTATCTTAGCCAGTAGGTCCTCCTAGGTTGGAAGTTTAATCTCAAGCAGCCCTCTTGATCGATGAGGTCACCTCCCTCACACTTCGGTTACGTGAAAATGCTAAAAGACATAAGAACTCTTAAGCCTACAAGCGCGCGGACACAGTGCACACGCTGAATGGGGAATTAAGCTTTTTGAGGGTCACTATCACCGCGTCACCAGAAGAGCAAAACGCGGCAAGGGAGGGGACCCACGGGAAAGTTGACTCATCAGTGAACTTTCCGGGCAACTAACATCCATCACTGTCTTTGTTCACATTACGTCACAGGTGCCACACTGAGGTATGTGGTTCATGAACTCTGATTCCACAGGCTGTAAGAGTTATGCCCGGCTCGCAAAGACAAGAATTTAATCATCTGAGAAGCAGCGGAGCATAAATCCTGAAGATAGAACATAAATCCCGAGTCTACGGCCATACCACCCTGAAAGCGCCCGATCTCGTCTGATCTTGGAAGAACATAAATCCCGAAGCGAGACAGCTGGGTTCAACGTGCAGCTAACCGGCTTTGTGACCTCCGGCAAGTTACTTAACCTCTCTGTGCTTCACGTTCTTCAGATCTCTGGTGCAAACCAGGGGAACTTCCCTCCTAGTGTCACTGTAAGGACTCAACGTGTTAACAGACATCGCATGCTTGGGGCTGTGCTCGGCACCCTGTGCTACGGAAGCGTTTGCTACGCTCATTGTTGGCGCAGAAGAAACGCGGCCAGCACTCACCTCTGGTATACCCGAGCCGCAGGCATATGGTGCAAACACGCGCACCAGGGAGACGGCCAAGAACGCAAACAGCAATGCCCACAGGATGTACATTAGGTAATTCAGAATGTAAGCGCTGGCGCCCTAAACACCAGACAGGAAATAAGAAAGAACATGTGAGGTGTCACCGACCCGAGCGCCGCGCCCGCCCACCCCCTCCGCGCGGACGGCAGAGCGGGAGCTTGGAAGGCATCCGCCAGCTTTTCATCCGGTCCTGTGTCAACAAAAAGGCCAGTGTTGGTTTTGTCGGCCGTTGCCGTTGCGACGGCAGGCACACCCAGCCCCGGCTGTTCCCACGCCTTCCGCGGGGCCAAGTGTCAGCACTCGGGGAACCGCCAAGGGCACGGGGCTCCGTCCTTGCCCGCTGCAGGTAAGGAAAGGCGGGCTACCCAGAATCTGCCCTGGGGACCCCGGAGGCTCTGTCTGGAGGTGGCGAGGGACCGGCCTCCCTCGGCTTTCATGAAGGCCATGTCCGACGTTGGAGGACGCTGCTGCCCGGCTGGAGTCCCCCGACCTGCAGCATCGGCGTCACCTGAGCCCACGTGAGGGACGCGGGTCCTCAGGCCGCGCCCCAGGGCTGCCGAATCACACCCCCCGACCCGCAAAGTGTGCCTGGACACGCTCTCCAGGCGCTCTTACAGGGCAAAACGCATGTTCATCTCCTCCAGAATACCTCACTGACCCATTTATTCCAAATTATCTGATGAATGAATAGCTTTCTGAACCAAATACAAGGTCTGGGGTCATTGATGCTGAGGACCTGGTCGGGTGGGTGGAGACGTTTGTCTCGGCCTCAGCTTCCTGCCACCATCTGGGTTACTCAAGTGAGGGGCGAAGGACGGGGAGGTTACCTACGAGTCAGGCCACGGATATGGCCACACGTGCATCTATGAAATGCAAAACCACGTTCCAGGAGACTCTATTCTGACCTCTGCCGTCACGTATATTCACACCCGGAGCAGGAGAAATAAGACGGAAGAATACATTTCACCCACTTAAAAATGTGTTTTAAGACCAAAAATAACTTCTCACTCTTGCTCACAGTCCTTCTTTGAATCAAAGTATAAATCTTAGAAACGGTTGAAAAGATAGACGGCCGTATTTCCCCCCAAAAAAAACATTGCGAGGAGGAGAGAGGAAATAAAATAGGGTGTTCAGCCACTATTGCCTGCCGGCTCCCAGCAACCCAAGGAGAGAATTTATTTTTGGAAGTCACGGAGAGCCCTGAGAACGTGTGAGATTTCAAGGTCCCCGTCTACTTCTCAGATTGGAAGGAATTCATTTTCAATTCCACGGAGAAGCAGGTTTAGCCAAACGGCCAAGTGCGTTCCACATCTCTTCAGCTGTGGCAAGTGCATGGGGGGTGGGGGGAAGCGCACGGTCGGGGTGAGGAGGAGAGGGATACAATGCATCCATCTTCCAAAAAGAGTCCTAGCTTGAACGTCCCCGTGTTACCCCTAACGTGGATCTTGCCGACCCAGCTCCCCCCAACCTGGGTTTCTGGTCTGTCGGTGACGCACACTGGGGCCACCACGGAATTCAGGTACGAGTGAACCTTGTCGTGGGTGAAGCTGGCAGGCACCCGGGACACTCCCAGAAGAGAAGGCCCAGAAACACCCTCTGCGATGCACTCGTGAACTGCAGTGGGAGACGAGAACTTGAACCACACCAAGATGGTGCTTTGCGCCCGCTCGAGTGGCTGGAATCAGAACCGGGAGAGGAGGTGGCTGCCCTGAACCCCTCATACGAGCGAAGGAAGTCGGACACGAAGGTCCGCGTATCGTACGATCCCACATAGCAACAGAGAGGTTGGCGGCTGCTTCGGGCTGGAGGGCTGAGAGGAATGGGGACGACTGCTAAGGGATGCGAGGTTCCCCCGGGGACGGTGGAGACGGTGGGAAATTATATTGGTGACGGCAGCGCTACGCCACGGGTATTCTAATACCAGGTGGGCTGCGCGCTTTCAATGCGCAACCCACATGGGGGGTGAATTCTATCTCACTGAAGCTGGTATTGTTAAAAAAACAAAAAAACAAAAAACAAAAAAAACCCCACTTCTTTTCTTATTAGAAGGTAGAAACAGCAACCCTATTTCCGCAGCACGATCAACAGCACACTCCCTAAGGAAAAGAACAGGGCTTTTATGAACACATACAGCATATCGTGCACACCAATCGGTACGGAAGGCTTTTCCAACTCCAGTTTGTGCCGCAGAGCTGGGCGAAGCCAAGCCGCACTGGCACTGAGCCCCGACGGCTAACAGCTCGGACACTTGGAGGTAAAAGCAGTCAGTCACAGAAGGCACGGCAGTGTTCCAAAGTGCCTGTGGAACGGAGGCCACCCCCAGCCACCACCCTGCCCGGAAACGCACCTCCGACTGATTCACCAGCAGCTCCGACCATTTCTGCCACAGGGGACACTTGTCCCTGTCCTCAAAAGTGGTCTCGTTGGACGTCCAGCAGCACTGCTCGTGGCTGTACCAGAAGGCAGACAGGCAGACCCCCTCCTTCAAGTCGGTCATCCAGTCGACGGCGAGATCGATGACCCCAGCCAAGGTGCCTGGAAGAAGCAGCGAGAGCCACTTAGAGGAGTCGCCCTGTGGCGGCGCAAGAGAACACGGGGCCCGGGGCCCACGCAGGGGCGCGGCCGGACCAGGAGATGAACAGGCTGCAGAAGGGCCGCGTAGAGGAAGCAGCTCTCCTCCGTCGTCGGCCCTCCTGAGCACTTACGGCGAGGGCAAGCCGTGCCCGTGCCGGTGAGCAGCAGAGGCCAATGGTGTGCGCGGCCTGGGTGCCTGGCATCCCGTGGGACTGAGCGCCATGCAGGTCTCGGGTCATCACAAGCCACCGGGGCCCAGCAGCTTTCAGAATTCTAGAAACAAGGTACCTATGCCCTATAAATGCTGTAATGCCCTCAGCGGCTTCGGGGACCCGATGCTGGGATCACACTCGTTTATGTGCCTCGGGCCAACCGGACAAATCCGAGGAAATGGAAGCATAATGGCTGCAGTAGCCTCATCATTTAAGTACGGTTCTGCCACCGCACGGGAACCCAACTTGAAAACTCTCACTTACTACAACTTCCTGGAGTTTTAAAACTATGGATAAGGGACTGTGGATCTAGCCAAGTAGGTAAGTACTTTGAAGGACAATGGAAGGGAGATCAAATAGAGGGTGCAGCCGGCCACAGGCGGCTACCTTCGGGTCTCCTTCCAGAATAACCCATTCCAGGGTCTTTTACAGAGGCAGGGGGAAGCCCTTCAGGCCACTGAATTCTCAGCGCTGATACTGGATCTTCATTTCAATACCTCTTGCCCACCTGCATCAACACGGAAGGCGTCTTCACACCTGCAACACAGCTCACCCTTCCCTGCTCTTCTCCCGTGACATCGAAAGCCGCCCCCTGCTCTTGAGAGAACACCTGAATCCCTAGCAGGCCGCGGACTCGAACAGCCAGCCCCTCACACCATTCCATCTCTCTCCATCATGGATGCCAGCTCGCCCCCACAATGCTCCCAGGGCACACCAGGCTCTCCTGTCTGTGCCACTCCAGCCAGCACTGCCCTTCCCCCACCCGCCTACCTCCTATTTACCTTCCAGAGTCAGTGTTTACATCACCTCCTTCGGGAAGCCTTCCCTGATTTCCTAGGTCTGAGCTAGGTGTACCCACCCCTGACCTTCCCCATCACCATACCTGTCACATCCTGGTAACATGAGTGTTTGTGTGATGAGTGTATGTGTGTGTATAGTGTCTAGTCCGTAAGTGGGGCTGGGAGGGCAGAGACCCTGTGGTGTGGTTTGCCTGCCACGGCACGGGTCAGGCCAGGTGTCCAGACTCTGTGTCCACTCTACGTGCCTTATCCGCTGCCGTATCTGCGTCGGGGACGCGGTCAGGACTATATATCTGCAAGGGCTCTTTACTCAGCATGTCCTCACCACGCACCAGTCCCTAGTCCATGCCCTGGGGATACAAAGCAGACTCGGGTCCCTGGCTTCGTGGAACTGCACGTCATCGGGGGGAAGAAAGACACTGGACAAAATGAGTAAGTAAATCGGGGGCTCCGTTAGCCGGTGCTAAGCGCTGGAGAGAAAATGAAGCACGTTAAGACGCTGCAGCCACTTGGGAAAACAGTTACCATCTGGCCCGGCCGTTCCACCCCGAGGCATCCACCCAGGAGAAATGAAAACAGAGGCCGCACGAGGACCTGCGCACAAATGTTCACAGCAGCGCTACTCACAGCGGTGGAAAAGCAGGCACAACCCGTGCGCCCCGAACTGCCGAATGGAGAAATAAATGGGGTCTATCCACAGGGTGGAACAGTATTTGGCAACGATAAAGGGGGAAGCACTGACGCACGCTACAGGGCGACCCCCAAAACGTGATGCCTAGTGAAGGAAACCAGTCCCAGGACTACATACTGCAGGACTCCACTGCACAAAGTGCCCCCAAGAGGTGGATATGTGGACACAGGAAGTAGATCAGTGGCTTCCTGGGGGTGGAAGGGGGCTGGGGGCACCGGGCTTGACAGCTAAGGAGTACGGAGGTCCTCTGGGGGCTGATGAAAATGTTCTAAAATTGCGGTGACGGTTTTACAACTCTGAATACACTAAAAATCACTCCATTGTGCACTTTAACAAGGTGACTTGTACGATATGTGAATTATATCTTAATAAAGCTTTTACACACACGCACACTGGGGCGAGGGGATGAGGCTGAGAGAGGGAGGGATGACTTTTGTTAAAGGTGGACAGGGAATGCCTCAAGCGGAAGATGACCTTTGAAGGAAGACCTTAAGAAGGGGAGGGAGGGGTCCTGTAGGTATCCAAGTGCGGGACCCAAGGATCATCCGGATTTCGTCACTATTCATTCATTTGTAATCGCCTCATCCCTCGCCCAACCTTCCATTGCAGGCTGATTGGGCTTGAAGGCGCTGAGCAGCTCAGCTTCGTTCGGTGGAACAACAGCGACACCCAGTGGTAACTCCCGATAGACGCGCTGTAGAGAGGACCCCGCTCGCGCCTCCCCATCGTGGGACTCAAAGTATGATGCCCAGGGTGCCACTGAGAAGAGACCAGGCCACGCAGTGGGACCCCTGAGTCCTCCCCAAGGTCAGAACAACTGGGGAACGGAAAAGCGAACGGGACACACTCTGCTGGCTCTCCCAGGCACATCCAGATCACAAGAGCACTCAGGCCACCTTCAATGTCAGGGGGTTCTCAGCCCCAGCTGCCCATTAGAACCACACGTGGAGGGGGCCGGGAGAAAGAAAGGAGGGGAGCTTTACCCAATGCCAGGGCACCGTCTGTAGGGATCCTATTTACTTGAAGCCCAGGCAGCAGAACTTTCATTCTAATTCCCTAGGTGATTCTTCCTGAAAAAATGGACATGAATTGGGTTGGCAGTGAAGCCCGCTGGTCAGTATCAGGTTTGTTAATGAGAAGCCCCGTCAGGCTCTTACATTAGTCAATAAATCCACCCGGGAAGATGTCGGAGTATCTATCCCGGATTTCCTCCATTTACTTCTCCTTCCTCGAAGCCAAGAATAATGATACGGTCTACGGCTTCATAAACCTATTCTAAATAAAGATGTCAAAATTCACAGTAAATTCCTACCCTGCCCACTTTGAAAGGTCTTCGGGGAAGCAGTCCAACAAATTGGTGGCAAAACACCGTATGTACATAAAATTGAATTCTCTGCCGATATTGCTTTTATACAGGGGGTGCCCCTGGGAAAGGAAGGCTAATATCAGGGAAATGGACGAACAGCCACCATGACCAGAGGGAAAGAATCCCCCTTCTACACTCATCTGGACTCTTTAGGCCCCTCCCTGGCAACCAGATTTTTTTCATTCTTAGACATTAACCTTCACAGCCTCTTAAAAGGAAATACATTTCAGGAAGCAATTTCCATGGAGAGCTCTGGGGACACCTCCCACCTGCAAGCAAGGAGCCAGGATTCTAAACTGAAGGGGCCCAGAGTCCCTGAGGGTCAGAACGTCAGGCTGCAGGTGTCACCCCTGGGCCCACACCACACCCCATGGGCAGCTGGAATTTTTCTGAGTATCTTTAGGATGTGTACGATTCATCCCAGGGCCTGCCAGTATTCATAAACACCTCTCTCCTACACGGTTTTACTATTAGAGATCAGGGGCGCCTGAGTGGCTCAGTCGGTTGAGCGTCAGACTTCGGTTCAGGTCATGATCTCACGGTCCGTGGGTTCGAACCCCGCGTCAGACTCTGTGATGACAGATCAGGCCTCTGGGTCCTGACTTAGTGACAGCACATGCTACGTTAAATGTATGGCGTGTATTTTGCTCCTGGATATTTCAAGTCAGAAAACCCAGGCACGGGATAAAAGAGAAACACTTCATTTTCGGAATACCATCCCAAACAGTGGTCGATTTGGGTTTTGGTATGTGCAGTGCCGACCCAGGAGCCCTGCTGCCCCTCGATGTACCCACCACGGGCCCCTCCGCGTGTCTGCTGCGCGACCCTCCACGTACCCGCCAGCAGGCCGATGAGCAGCATCACCACCCATCCCGACCAGGCGTCCAGCAAACTCTTGATGAAATCCCAGATGGACTCCTTGCTTTTGCTGGTTATCTAGAAACAAAAAGACACAGTGGCCGATCTGGATACATCCTTCCTGTCGTGGGAAACGGGGTGCCTGAGAAAAATGGATGTAATTAGAAAACTAAATGCCACTGACGGTATCCTTTTGGTTACCCAGCACGATGACACGGGCTGTCTAGTTCGCAGACGTACAAGGATGCCACACAGTCTCCAAAGACTTAGAAAGAAACCCCCCAAAAATCACTTATTAAAAAAACTTCCTAAGTGTGATTTCATCTTTGACTATTCAGAAGACATTCTGAAGGGAGGGGTGAACTCATCGTCACCATTTTCAATAAGAATCATTGCTGGGGGAGGGAGGGGGGAGGGTAGGTGCATGGGTGCCGCAGTCAGTTAAGCATCAGACTCTTGGTTTCGACTCAGGTGTGATCTCATGGTTCGGGAGTTCGAGGCCATGTAGGGCTCTGAGTTGACAGAGGCGGAGCCTACCTGGGATTCTCTCTCTGCCCCTCCCCTGCTCGTGCGCTCGTGTGCTCTCTCAAAAACAAATAAACTTAAAAAAAAAAAAAAAGAAAAGAATTACTGGGGCGCCTGGGTGGCTCCGTCTGTTGAGCGTCCAACTTCGGCTCAGGTCATGATCTCAGGGTCCGTGTGTTCAAGCCCCGCGTTGGGCTCTGTGCTGACAGCTCGGAGCCTGGAGCCTGCTGCAGATTCTGTGTCTCCCCCTCTCTCTCTGCCCCTCCCCTCCCCATTCGTGCTCTGTGTGTGTCTCTTTCTCTCTCAAAAATAAACATTAAAAAAAATTGTTTTAATAAAATAAAAACAAGAATTCCTGCTTTAACTTACACTGTAAAGTGTGCTCACAAAAGAACCTCTTCAACAGTGAGTTCATTTCCTTCGTCTCCCAGGGTGAACGTCAGGAGCGAGAGCTCCGAGTGAGCCGGCCCGGGTCACTCCGCCAGGTGGACCAACGCGCCTGAGGACACTGGAAAGGTGCTCCTTGGCCTCCACCGGCACAGAGCCCTACCTTCCTGGGGCGCCTTCCGAACACCTTCTGGAAAGACTGCACTCCAGGGCCCGGCGGGCCTCTCTCACAACCACTCAGCCATGCTACTGGGGCACAGAAGGAGCCGTGCAGAACGCACACGTCAAAGGGCGTGCGTGGGCGTGCGTGGCCGGGTTCCAGAACACCTGCGTGACTGGAACCGGCGCCAGGCCCAACTGGGCCCGAGGGCCAGAGTCCAACCGCCTCCGCTCCAGGCTGAGGGCCCCCCTTTCCCGCACTCCTCCACGCTGGGAGCCAAGAGGCTGGGCCATCCTCCTCACCCCACCTCCCCTCTCCCCGCTCTCCCTGCTTTCGCTGGTGGCCACTGCTGGCTCCCCTCCTTCACCTCTATGGGCTTCTTCGCAGTGTGTGTCACAGGCACCCCACCTGCGTCCCGTTGTCCCTACTAAGTCCTGGCATCGGCCACAGTTCCGGCCGCCTCCTGACCTCCCCCTCTCCGCACATGGACCGCCTCGGCCACTTCTAACGCTTAGGCACCCGCTCGCATCCGCCACCGCAGCCCTGACCTCGCCCTTGAACTGCAGAGCGCTCTCCCCCGCCCACCAGCCCCAGGCCTGCACAGCACAAGCTCCAAGCGGCTCGAACAGAACTCACCGGCCGCCCCGTCGAATCTGCTGCTCCCCTTTTCTTCCCTCTCGTCCGCAGAGGCCTCATCCGCTTTGAGCCACAGCCAGGGCCTCATCCTGGACTCCCCGTACCCCCCGCAGGTAACCGCCCCAAATCCCGTCAGGGGCGCCTCTGAGTAACGCCTGACCCCAAGCCTGTCCCCATCTGCACTTGACCGCCCTTTGTCAGACCTCCTTCCTCTTTCGAACTAATTCCCGAGCTCCCTGCGGCTCCCTCTGCAGCGCATCTTTCTTGTATTCTGTGACCAGGAAGATGAAAGCCAAACCCCTCTCCATGGCCTACTCGGTCGTTCCCGTGGCCCCATGGCCCGAGTCGCCACACTCACCCCCCCACTTTGGGAACCCTCCACCGGACCTCGGGGTCCCCAGCACCACCTGCAATGCCATGTTCTCTCATGCCTCTGCGACTTAAAAAACGGCCCCTCCTGATTTTAGAATCCTTTCCTTTTCCTCCACCTAACAACCTGCTAGTCACCCTTCCCGACCCCACTGAAACGTCACCCTCTCTAAGAACCCTTCCCCGACCATCCCTCCTGAATGATCACATGGTGTTTGATACCACACTTGGCCGTGGCCGCTACCGTATATGCTGACTGCCGACTTGCACGCCTGATGACCTCCACCCTTGCAGATGAGAAACCAAGGACCGGAAATGGCACCCCGAACATCGCCCAGCCTCAAGGGGCCAAGGGCACAATGTACCTGACTTGTCTGGTTCCAGAGGCCCCGCACTGCCCTCCACACCATACCTCTGTACGACACAGCCTCCCACCCAAAGCACCTGATACCATAATTATCTGTCCACAGCTCTGCCTCTCTCACTAGCCCTTCTCTTTTTTAGAATGTACTCCAGCATGTGACAGGTGACCCTAACCTCAGCTCAGTTAAGTGTCCCGTGAAAGCATGGCCCAGCCATCCGGGGTGGATCGCCTTCAATAGGTCTTTTCGGGACGCCACCTACCTTTCTGTGTCTGTCGGTGTCCCGTGACTTTTCCCTTAGCCAGTCGATGGTGTGGAAGTCCTCGTATGTCCCCACGTCAGGGAACGGCTCGTCGAGGAAATCCATCAGGTTTCCAGACCCACTCATTGCTCCCGCATGGACCATGCTAGTTACACCTGGGAGAGAAAACCTGATTAAAAGCATCACGCGGGACATCTGCGCGGGCACGGCACAATCACCCACGTGTCCCTTTTCCTGCAAGCACCATCTCTGTAAAGGAGGTTGCATTTGGGTGAACCGGTCAATCCACAACCTTGTCTTTTGTGTTCCTGGTTAAGGGTATCTTATTGAACAGATGTTGCTGACTCATGAACGCTGAGTTACGGCCAAGAGCGCGACAACTCATGCCTGGACGAAGTGTGTCTGACAAAAGTCTTTTCTCCGTAATGCACGCTGCAGCCTTCCTCCGACTGGAAACTCTAGAAGCCCCCCAGCACTGCATTTCAGGGCCACTGCAAACAGCACGAGTACCCGTAATAAGAGCACAGACTTTTCGCCACTCCACACACGCACACGTCCGGGAAAGAGCAGAGGGTGTGTGTCGCGGGGGGGGGGGGGGGGGGGGTGGCGGCGGCTAGGCTTACAAGTGCATTTTAGTGAGCAGGAAAATGCACACGTTCGGAACCGCAAGTCATGAGGGCCGGCCACCTGCATTTCTGAAAAACCTCAAGTTCTGCAAAACCGGGGAAGGCATCCCAATGAGCACTGGAGGGGAAGCAGGGCGGAGGCGCCCCTCGGACGCAGAGCCCTGGAACCCAACCCGTGACTGGGCCTCTCGTGAGGCGAAGGCGACGGCTCAGGCAGGCGGCCCCTGTGGTCGTCACTGCAGGTGGGAGCCAAGTGGCTACCTGATGGAAGCCGGGTGCGCCGAGAGGGGGGGCGCCCTGGGGAGGCCCCACAGAGACTGACATGGGAAGAGGATAAGTTGTCACAGGACCCACGCCATGGCATGGATGTTTGTGTCCCCCCAAGAATTCACACGTTGATGTCGTAACCCCGAAGGTGATGCTATTAGGAGGCGTGGCCTTGGGGAGGTGATGGGGTCAGGGGGGCATGGCTGACCCGAATGGGATTAGTGCCTTTTAAAGGAGACCCTGGGGGCACCCAGGTGGCTCAGGCAGTTGAGCGTCTGACTCTTGCTGTCGGCTCAGGTCATGATCCCGCAGTTTCCTGAGCTTGAGCCCCGGATCGGGCTCTGTGCTGGCCACGCAGAGCCCACTTGGGATTCTCTCTCCCTCTCTGCCCCTCTGCCACCCATGCTGTCTCTCTCTCAAAATAAATAAACTTAAAAAAAAAGAAAAGACAGTAAATACAGACAGACAGACATAAAAGAGACCCCAGAGAGCTCCTGCACCCCTTCCACCGTGTGAGAACACAAATGAGGAGCCTGACCGGGAAGGGCCCTCACTCACCCGACCGTGCTGGCTCCTGGCGTCAGCCTTCCAGCCTCCAGAACTGGGAGACGGAAATGCGTATCGTCTGTAAGCCCCCCAGACTGTGGGCCTTGATCACAGCAACCCAAACAGACTAAGACAAGGCAAGAGCCAGGCCGGGCTGGCTGCGCCACCCTCGCTTCTCATTGTTCTTAAGATACAGTCAAAAGGGCTCCCCCTGCCAGGATGGTGGCCAAGCAGAGTTTCTCCTCTTCCTGCCTAAGAGAACACTTCCGCTCCCACTGCCCTGGCCCCCCGGGTCTGGAGAAGAACCTCGAATACGCCAAGATATCTCCCACGTGATGAAGAGACCTTCCACCATCAGAGCCTCATTCACCGATCACACAGGAGCTCACCTGAGAGGCAGAAAGTGCTTTGCAGCAGCACTGAGGCTCCCCACCAGTGAGCAGAAAAAAGAATACGCTCTTACAGACAAGAGGTTGGAATAAGCACTAAATAAAAAATTACTTGGGCAACGAGCATGGAAATTTGAATTACAGGCCGAGGACCACAGAGGTGCTGGAGTAGATGGTTTAAGGAGGCGAAGTGTCGTTATACAACTATTTGAGCGTGGGCGTCTCTCGTTGCTTTATGTCGGTTTCTCTCTGGAGGACTCAACCATGACCTGATGAAACTGCATTTTAATCAAATTGAAAAGTCGCTACGGGCAAAGTGGGGCAATCACCTTACAAGCAATAAACTGGCGATAGTGAGTGATTTATTGACCGTCTGGGCAACTCGGCTGCTTTAAAACTTTGAAAGTTTGAGGTCGGAGCCATGCCAAGCTGAAAACCATACCCGCTGATGAGTACCCAGGGAAGAATCAGGTTGCCTAAGTCAGTAGCAACCAATAATAAAAAGGAAGGAGTAAAATTAGAAGGCAAAGATTTCATTCGCATTTCTACAAAAGCAAGGTGGTTAACAGCTTTGTATTCTATGCAGCAGAGAAAATCTCTGATGGGGAAAATAAGAGAGCAGACTGTGGACCCACAACGGGGAGCCCTGGTGAGTAAAACCAAGCCAGCAGACAGAACAGCAGAGACTCGAAGGTTCTATTACAGAGGGAGTTGGGGTTACATGAAACATAACCAAATCTGTAGTCAAGCGACAACTCCAGGCAATGATGGTTGAATCCAAAAGTCACTCTCGAGAACAGCCTCCACCTTTAAATTCTGATGGAGCATGTCACAGTCATGACAATTAGACACACAACTGGTAAAGGAAAATAAACAAGACCTCATCAGGGTCTTCCCTGGGAGCCTAGAAGGAGGTAGCGAGGTCACCTGTGACGCTGGGATATTATTAAGAAAGACGGGAGGGCCTGGGGGAGGGCGAGAAGAGGGCGTCCAGGTTAGAAACATGGAAAGAGCCCTCTCTGGCATCCATCTGGGAGATGTGGATGGCTAAGGAAGGGGTCCAGCCCAAGATGGGAGCAGCAAGGAGTGAACTCCAAGGACCTGCAAACTGAGAAATAAGCTTAACCCATGTAAGTTCATCCATTTCAAGGACCAGCCCCAAATGGACGCCAGGAGTCGTGTGTCCCTCAGCGGGGAGCCCTTGCTCCTCTCCTCTGTTCTTATTTCTTCTCTCCAATAAGAGCACTTCTGCTTCCAGACAGCGCCTATGCTGGTGGCTTCAAGGCCACGGCTTGAGGAAGGACAACATTCTGGCACCTGGATCGGAGAGTCCTACTCGGTCTGGGTCATCTAGGTCGGGGCTTGGCAAACCGCGGCTGCTGGGTTTTGTAAGTACAGCTTTAGTGGGACGCAGCCACGCGCAGTCATTTATACGGCGTCTATGGCTGTTTTCACGTCCCCAGAGCTGAGTAGTTATGACAAAGGCTATATGCCCCGCAAAGCCTAGAACGTTTACCGTTCCGGCCACGTACACAAAACACGTGCTGGTCCCTGATCTACGCAGTGGGCTGACGGCGCAAACGGCCTCGCTCTCTACCCCTCCGTGTTGTTTTGGACCTCTAGCTCTGTCACGGGAAGAAGCCTAGGCTAGAATGCTGGAAGCCGAGAGACTGCCTGGAACCGACTTGGGTCATGTTGGCTGAGGCCATCCTAGGTGGCCTCGGCCCAGCCAAGGTGACCTGGAGCGGACCCAAGACCAGCCAGCTCCGGCACAATCAAATCCGGCCCAGCCACATACCGTGAGAAGCGCGGGGACTGCTTCAAGCCACGGGTTTTTCTGAAGGGCTTGTCCTCCTGGCGGCATCTTGACAGTGTTTATTTGACATTGTTACCTGGGCTCGAGGGGGAGGAGGGGCAAGGCAGGTAAGCTAGCGTGGCCTTGCAGGCAGCTGCAGGTATCCGCCGACAAAGTAACGTGTCTCCTACACGCCCACATTCACCTACAAAGGGACTCTGGAAGACGACATGGGGCGCCCAGATCTTTCATCCAATCCTTTAAGGCAAGGAGGTATCTGGGGGCGCCTCGGTGGCTCAGTAGGTTGAGCGTCCAACTTCGGCTCAGGTCATGATCTCACGGTTCGTGAGTTCGAGCCCCGTGTCGGGCTCTGTGCTGGCAGCTCAGAGCCTGGAGCTGCTTCAGATTCTGTGTCTCCCTCTCTCTCTGATCCTCCCCTGCTCACGCGCTCTCTCTCTCAAAATAAATAAAACATTTTTAAAAACACTTTTTTAATTAAAAAAAAAAGGCAAGGAGGAATCTGGAGGTTCGGTCTTCCAGTAGGATGACTCCAAGGGGCTGGGGTCAAAGTGGTCAACAGCAGGTGACAACAAGGAACCCCGTCCGGTAAAACTCACTTCACCCAGGGCCCAACGAACACAAGCATGTGTCCACTGTGTCACTCCGGGTGACGTAATTTAGGACGTCGATGTTGAACACAGCTGTGGGTGGGTTGGCCCGCCCGCAAAACCTGCACTTTGCATAGCTGGGTGTTGGCAGTAACAAAAACGGTTTCTAGAAGGTGAATGAAAGCAGGAAATCACTGAACACTGGTTCTAAGTGGCATCAGGGCCTGACTGAATACGGAACACCCCACCCTAGGCTAATGAGGATTCTCAGCACATCCGACCACAAAGGTCACGCAGAAACCCATCTGTGTGAGTGGCGGTTTCCTCTGCCTGGAAAGCCTCTATTCACCCTCCAGAATTCTGTCCTGTTTCACGGTCTCTGAGCAACGTGCCAGAGGGATCCGAGGGCTTCCACATTGGCAATCCAAAAGCATTCTCTTTTCTTCTTGCTTTTTTAAAATGACGGTTAAAACCGTAACAATACAAGGTCCACCCTCTTAACAAATGCCCAGTGCACAGCACATCACTGTGCAGAACGCTGGACAGCAGACCTCTAGATAGGTTTCGTCTTCCAAAACTGAACCTTTACACACGTCGAGCCAAACCCCCCGTTTCCGCTCCCCAACCCCCGCCCCTGGCAACCACTGCTACCTTCTGCTTTAGGAGTCTGACTACCTGAAATGCATCCTATTAATGAAGCGACGCAGTATTTGTCCTTCTGTGACTGGCTTCTTTCATTTAGCATAAGGTCCTCCGGGTCCAGCCGTGCGGCTGCGTACAGTAGGACTCCTTTTCACACGCCCCTGGAGGGACACGTCACCTCGTCTTTGTCCATTCATCCGCTGATGGGCATTTCGGTCGCCTACTTACATCTGTCCTTCTCTGATCACGGTGCCTTCTTGGCTGACTCCCGTTGGGAGGTAA